TAATGTACATTCTGAAATAAAATAATAGTCATTCTCAAAAAACTCAAACTTCATTCTCATATAAATAAAATCCATAATCATAAAGAATTTTCTTTTTTCTCTCACCCGACCCGCTGCCCTCTCCTCCCATCGATCGACTCCTCCACTAGGTTTTTCATACAGCATCTGTCCTCCGGCCTATCAACAGATTCCTCGATCGATCGTGCACATCTCCCTTCCGTACAACAGCTTTCTACCTCCTGATCTGACTGCAGCTCTCCTTCGACGCATCTTCCTTCCTCTGACCCGACTCGACTAGGAGCGGCTCCTTTCTCCTTTGATCGACGCCTTTTCTTCTTTGATTTATCGGTTGTACCCAATTTTGGGTACAACCGATTGTATAGTATAATTTGCATCGTATATCCAATTGATGAAAAAACTTTCATGTTTAGACAATGGATAATTATTCATTATGTAAACTTTACACATTATATAAATATCTGTGGTGTAAATAAGTGATTTTTTTCATCGATTGCATAGACAGTGGCTGTTTTATGGTAGGAAACACATCATTTTTCCATTGTATAAAGTCAATTTGTAATAGTACAGTAATGAGTGGCCGTCCGTTGTCCTTTCATGAGTCGAAGGCACCCATTGTAAAAGTAGTAATGTTGAAAACTTTACTGATAAGTCAATGTAGCATATATATGTTAATATACATGAAATATTTAACCCATTTAAAATTTTGGATCTATAACTAAAAAGTGGGGAAGCATCATACTTGCTTGCACTCTTCCTACACCGATGCACGCTTTGGAGTATGACTGGAAGACCTTTGTAAACTAGAAGTCTGAGGTAGTCTCAGTAAGCGATACATTATTAGCTACGGAGTATTTCATTGGTTTGAATATTTTTAACTTTGCTCTCGTTGAGTATGATTGAATGAAGTACGCAACGCAACTATATTGCGATGGAAGTAGCGATACGCGAGCAGAGGATTGAGGCCACACCCAACGAGATCTACGTCTCCACAGTTGAAGGGCACGGTGCAAAAGAATTATCTACATGGAATAATAAATATCACACGTAGCATCCCATGAATAAACAAGAGTGAGCTGAGGCACAACGTGCCAGTACTAGATCCATGTGAGATACTCGTAATGAAGAGATTCAAAAATTGAGGGAGGAGATGAAAAACATGAGAGCTGCACAAGCGCGTGAACTATATATATGGAGAACGTCTCCCAAACAACAATGAAGGGGACGGTGGTGCTGTAGGAGCAGTACATCGGGAGTAGATTAAAACAACTCTGATAAAACTATAACATTTTACTCTTTAGTTGATATTTTACTGTATGTATGTGACTGAGTGTTTTGAATTGATTAGGCATTTATACTATGTAAGGTTATGGAAAGTGGCGGATCCAGGATTTCAGCTAGATGGGGACACCATTAGTCAGGGGTCTGAGGACAAGGCCCTTGGATTTTTTAATAGACAATATGAATTGACAAAAAAATACTGGAGTAATAAATTTTGTTTCAAACATTCCTATTTTGACTTGAGAAGGATTTATTTTTGTAGTTTGACCTTCTAATTATATTTTTATCATCGAAGAAAAAAGAGAGACAAATCATTTAAATGACTTATTATATCAATCCAAATTGAATTGAGTATATTGCAACGACTTTGTTAAGGAACCAACTCAACCAAAAGCTCAAGCTTGTGGTTGTGACCTAGGAATAGTTATTTATATTCTAACACGCCCCCTCACGTGCAGGCGTAGTCTTTTTCAGGCCTTGCACGTGAAACCTTAATTTTTTTAAACTGGGTGGCGCTGAGTTTCGAACCCGTGACCTCTTAGTTAACGAGGGTTCGATACCATGTCAAGGAACCAACTCAACCAAAAGCTCAAGCTTGAGGTTGTGGCCTAGGGATAGTTATTTATATTCTAACAGACTTAATTTAGATATATTAGTCATTTTTTACAAAAATGAAAGTGTTTTAGGGGAAAAAATGAAAGAGAAATTGTTTTAAGAAAAAGAGGAAGTATGTAATAAAATAAAATTTACTAAAAAAAAATAAATAAAGACTTTAAAACCATCTTAATTAGATGGGGTCTTATTAATTTTTGTTGGGGGCACACATACATAATTTTTTTAAAAAAATAATTTTAACTTAAAAAATAAATTTAGTAGGGGGCATTAGCCCCCAACTCTTATGAAGTAGATCCACCACTGGTTATGCATGTCTTGAATGAATTGAGTATTTATGTGAATTAATTCTTGTTATTTTTTGTGAATTTAGTGTCTTGTGATTTTGGTTGTACACCTAAAAGGCTAAAAGTATTAGTTTGATTTTGGTGTGATCTAGGCTAAAAATCAGTTTCTCTATTATTGTTTTTACATTTTTAGCGACAAAAATGGCAACGAAAACGAGTTTCGTCGCCATGCGTGCAGAAATGACAAACTGTCACCCTTTTCGTCATTGGTTTTGGGCGACAGAATATTTCTGTTGTCGATTGTGATGCTATGAACCGTCGTTGTAACACCCCGGCCCCCACCCTAGCTATAAGCTTCCGCTCATAGGATTGTAGACTAACTCCACAAACCTACACAAGTCTTTCCCGCACTTTGTCCTTGCTCAAGCACCCAGAGAATTTCTCAGGGGTCACCCATCATAAAATTGCTCCAAGTCAAGCACACTTAACTTTGGAGTTTCTAAGTGATAAGCTCTCAAAAAATAAGATGTGTCTTGTTGGTATGAGTAGTACTATGAGTCTTTTTTAGCCTTTTCTTTTCCCAATCTATTTATTTTCAAATCAGGGCATTACAGTCACTATATTCGTCGGTTGCTAACGATAGAAAAAAATATGTTGTCAAATTGAATAGTAACAAAAAATAAACGGAACATGGGACATCGCTGATTCCGTCTTCAAGGCCAAAATAACAATAGAAAATTGACCTTGGCAACAGAAATTTTCTATCGCTTTTTAAGCAATTTTTCGTAGTGCATATCTTCCTAGCTATAGTTCTTCCTTTCACTGCTATTGCACTTTTCAAACCCGTCTTTTGAGCTGAAAAAATTAACTTCCAACTCTTTTCAAGTTTTTTCAGTTTCTTCCAACTCTTTCCAAATCCTTCCTGCTTATTCCAGTTTCTTCCAACAAGGACTAAAAAAAGTATTTATATATGATAAATATACAATACAATTTTATATCCAAATTTATAACATATCGTCTCAAACACGCACAAGGATGAATTCTTTTTATATCCAAAATTAAATTCTTCCAACATTTTTTAATTTCTTTCAATTTTTACAACTTCTTCTAGTTTCTTTCAAATTCTTCCATTTTTTTTTAACATTCAATTTTAAAACTCCAGCATAGTAGAACTGACCTAAATTCTTAAGAGGAAAAAAAATTTAGCCACAAAGTTTTATTTTAAATAGAAAGGGAATCTTTTTTTGAATGAATGAAAAAGGAAGGATAAAATAGAACATGCATTTCTCAATAAGTTTGTATAAGTGCCAAAATCCAAACACTCCAGAAAAAGCTCATACTGTCATACATAGAGTGATTGTCCCTGTGTAAGCGAATAACTTTTAAGCTTCTACTTCGTTTAAAAACAATTTTGTGTGTTTGACAAATCTAATTCTACTTATGGTGTATAATTTCTGAGTGCAAAATAGGCTCCAAAAGTACTTTTTGGGAAAGTTGGGATAAAACACCTTTGGCTTGCCAAGGACCATGTAGTCCAGTGTCACTACGATGCCTCTCCAAAATGAGAAGTCATGTGTGTGCAGGCAATAATTTTATGGACTTTAATAAGTTGAGAATGTATAATAGATACTACATTGCAATAGATTTATTACTATTCATTAAAATAATTTTGGCTTCGGCGTTATAACTTCTACTTTTTAAGTAATCCGCCATAGTGTCATACATCCTCACAATATGCCATAAATAATGACTTTAATCCTCGAAACAATATTACTACTCATGTCTTATAAAAAAATTACATTTCTTTTTCTATTTCTCAAAAAATGATTAAATATTCATGTGTTCCTCAATTACCATAAAAGATAATTAGATGATGTTTTCCCTTGAGACTGAACAAAAAAAGAATATTTATCACAGAGCCGTTACTACGTATGTAATCGTCATTATTGTTACGGAGTATTAGTTTATCAATTTTACAATAGTCTTATCTTGACACCAAGCACTTTTGACACGAACAAAAAAAATCATAAGATTTTGTTTGTGAATCCACAAAAATTGACCCTGATTTCTTTTTTTCGAAGTAAACAATGGGGTGCATTAAGTTTTATTGTATTATTGAAATAATGTGGATATAATATAGAGAAATGATGGAAAAAGATAAACATTAGAATACAAAAATGTTTTTCTCCTAAATTATGGAAAAGACATATCTAGTTTTAATGTAATTTTAATAAAATTGGTTTTTTTTTAAATATAGTTTTGAAATAACAAAATTTTATAATATTTAATTATTTTAAACTATATTGAATTCATGATCAAAGGATGTCACAATTTGATAAAAAAATCAAAATGTGCCAATCTTTTAGGAAAGGAAAGAATACATTTTATTCATTTATTTTTACTCATCATTTAATAAAATGATATAATCATATTAACTCTTGTGTTGTAGTTCGTAGTAGTTTTTAAATGTATAAATTATTTTTAAATTTTACAATTCTAATCAAGTAAAATTAGATTGGATAAGAAATCAATTAAATTACATTATTAATAAGTCCAGTCAAATCTAGTAAATTGAAATAGAAAGAACAATTCAAGATGGAGGGAGTATAAATGAACAATTTATATGTACACTAATATTAGTAACATACAATTCCTTATATGCTATTTAACCATACATGCTCGCTGCATAGATATTATATATGCTCAATAACCACAAACCACAAAGAAATTACTCCATCCATTAATAAATAACTGACCATAATGACTTTGTGGATACATTAAGAATCAAGTGAATGTAGACGTAATGCTTGTCCACATTCATTCAAAATAAAGCACTTACTTTGTAATATACACTTCCTATGTTCAAAAGTGAAGACCAAACTTAGTTCTCAATTTTACCTAACATGGAAATGTGAACTTAATTAGGAGGCATGCGTGTTAAAGCTACTTCTGAAGTATCAAAGCTACATATAAAAGGATGTTATAGACACAAGCTTTTGCCTATCTTACCATGTAAAATGTCAACTCATCTTCTAACCATCAATCCCTATTCCCTCTCAGAGACAAAGTGCACTCCAGTTGGTAGGGGTACCCTTCGCGGCTTAAAACCAGGGGGCACGTCCTCGCACGGCTCTACTTTGACAGGGAGTAGGGCCGTCTTGGAAGTGGGAGGACCACCACACTTTGGTTTGGAACCCGGAAGAACTTCTGGAAACACTTTCCTTTCAATGTTGGGGAGGGCCAAAAGGGAATGATGATTGTCTCTAGAGTGGCTATGGGGAACCACCACATCTGCATTGCCCAAGTTTTGCCCTCCCATCATGTCTATCTCCATGTCAACAGCCTCCACATTGTCATACACTTCTACTATTGCTCCTTCCCTTTCTGTCATTTCAAGCTGTGAATCTGATTTGTCCGTTTCATGGATGCAAATATTGCCTGCCTCTTTGTCGGCATATTTTAGATAGTTTGGTTTGCCCATTTTGCCCACAGGGTGAAACAATGCCCAGAGGAAGTGTCTCCCTCTCACCTCTGCAAATAAAGAATCCAAGAACGTTGGAAGTCGAAATCGAACAGACCATTCATTTGAGCTCCATTTGGAACTCAAGAATGCTAAAGAAAGAAATAGAGGGGAACAGATGAAGAAACTTGGGAAAAAGTCATTGTATTGGCTCAAACTCAACAAGTTTTTAGACATTACTAAGACTTAGCAGATAATTTAAAATCCTAATTTTTATCTATCAAACTATATTTTTTAAAGTATAACCAACTATACATATGTTTCTTGATTTAAAAAACTTGTTTTCTTGGGATTTTTTCTTTACTTCAATTCCATTTTATGCGTTACAACCGAAGAGTTAAAGAAATACGTTGTTGAATAGGGGAAAAAAACACAGCAGAACACAAAGCATACTCTGACAGTCTAGTTGCAGAACCGTGGATGCAAAGACGAGCATTTCTACATTTCCAATCTGCTTGATCATCACCACGTCTTTGCCTCGTATCAACTCTAAAAGGGTCATATATTCTTTGGACCTGTAAACATGAAGCTAAAAGGGCTTGAGTATCATATAATAGATACACAAATAAAACATGTAATCAGTGACCAAATTGATTCATAGAGCTGACCTTTCCATGTCAGTGGGAAATACATAGAGTCCTACATCGTCTTTCGTAGGGCAGTGGTCATGGAATAACTTGGCCCAAACACTCCCTCTTGGAACTACTTTGAAATCAAGAATGTCGGGCAACAGCTTCGTAAACTCAACAACCTTTTGGCATGCTTTTGATGAGTGATGAGCTTGGAATCCATGAAAGTTTAGATTGTCACAAATGCTGAAGCTCCCTCTAGAAAATGCATTGACATAGAAGGGGAAAAAAATGAAACTATCAAACATATTATCAAGCATACAATATCTTACTAATTGTTTTTACCACAAAAAGTTGACTTCATAACGGAAAGATAGGTGCCAAATTCACATTGCTTTCTAATCAAAAAAAATACAGAGTACTCATTAAAGCAGAGATAAATCTTCATCATCATCATGATTCACGATGCTCGTTATGCTCTATGTTGTGCATGTTTATTTTCCAATATCAAATATCGCAAAATGCATGAGCTTATAGTGTTAATAATTATTTATCAATAATACAAATTTCATGTCATGCACCAACATTGAAAACCAGCAAAACTGCACTTACTTCCAGGAGGGATGAATGAGTGGGTCATTCGAACATTTCTTGACATCTGGACCTGAAACAAGTCAAAATTCTGAATGATCAGATAAATGGTAAATCAGACAACTTTTAGCAACTTATGAAGGCTAGGAAGCAAGTAGCAAATGGCATGCAAAGAATTACCTTTTGGCACCTTATGAATCTTCTTTGGTGGCTGACAATTAGGAGCCAGTGTATCCCTGGGATTGACAGCTTTCCTTGGCAATGGAGTGGGAATGGGTTTCTTAGGTGACATAGGAGTTGGTTTTTGTTTCTTAGGTGATAGTGGGGTTGGTTTGCGTTTCCTATGTGATAGTGGAGTTAAGTGAAGAGATTCTTTTACACTGGAAACAACAGTTTGTTGTTCCGGTAACTTTAGCACTTCTTCAACAGAAAGATACTTTGTTCTCCCCTTGAGAACTTTCTTTTCCCAGTTAACACGACCTTGTTGCAGCTTTTTGGACCGCGAGTTCTTGGTTATCAGCTTTGGTGCCTCAGAACTACTCAGAGTTTTCCTAAACAATAACATGTCCTCGTTCCTGTGGCTGCATTCCTCACATTGCCAGTCGTCTGTGGGGCCCTCGCAAAACTCTCGGGTGCAATAGCTGCGATGGACAGAGTTTTCCAATGCTTAGTAAGAGCATCAAATTGCACAAGAAGCGTTTCAGGTTGAAGAAAAAGAAAGTTCTTTTCCATTGGAAATCACAATGTAGACAATTGCCAATGGGGGACCATTTGACACAGGTTCAGGTTTGATTGTCAACTGGTCATAATAGAAGTTCTGAAGACTAAAGTAGACACAGACTAAGTAAGAACATAAAAATTGAAGACTTATCATGACCTAATCACCAAATACAACCTCTGGGCATTATGATTTATGAGAATGTATCAAAGATAATGATCACTTAAAGCAAGATGAGAGAGCAATGGAAGCTAAACAGAAATAGGAGGGGATCTTACATATGTTCTTGGCTAACTTTGCACTTAGCACAAGTAATGATTGTTTCTTTAATCCCAATATCACCACAGGTATCACAACATTCCACCTGCAAATTTCCAGGTATGACGCAAAATTGTCAATTCTCTCCATCGGTACAAAAGTTGTTCCTTTTTTTTTTAATTTCATGATTCTTTTAGGTTCTGCAATTGCACAAGGATATTAAGAATTAGCTCTCTTAAACTCCCCTGATGCAGTTAAAATAGATCATTTAGTATTCCTCACCTCACTCCTTTGTCAAATAATCGACGCTTAATTAACTGGTTTAAGGGAAACATGAATGAAGATAAACACAATGTAGTGTCATTTCGATACCCCCTCATTCATGCAATAAACATATAACTATCTAAGAAGTATTATGCAGCATTTTAAGAGGGATAAGAGCAATTATGGAAATTCAGCAATTAATGTTCTCTTCATATTCAGCAATCCAATATGACCATTGCAAGATATTTCAGGAACTGGATGGTCTAATGCAATTCTAATGACCCCTGAGATTGAACTCTATATAAGCAGGAAGAATCCAACGCATTTCATCCCACTCCAGAAGCTTGCATTCACGAGTATCTCTAAGCTTTTGTGTGACATGGATCTTCCTTATTTACAGGTCACAGAAGAAAAATGGTAGGGACAATAGTGTGTCCTTATCTTTATAGGTAGGGTGGCTATACTTGAACTCTTAGATACAGTAAATTGTTAAATCACCAACTTAAACAGGCTTTACTGTTCTCTGCATGCATGAACTTTTGTTTGTGTTTCTAAAAAATAAAAAAAATTAATTTAAAAAAATCACAGAAAAAAGAAGCATATTAACAACAGAAATAATCCAGCCAGTAAATTTTTTAGTATTTCTTATTTATTGAAGGAAAATAAAATGAATTGAAGGCCACTTTCTACAAGCATGACCGTTTTGTATGTTTCTAACATAGCAAGCTAAATGCCCCCAAAGTCTCAACCTTTGCACAGGCATTTCAACCCAAAACTTCAACTTCATCAAATCTGGTAAAAACTAAAACCCAGTTTTCAAAGATTCTAATCAAAATGCGAAGAAAACAAACAACTGCCCAGTAGAAACAACACTAGACACGAAACCAAGAAGCAAAAATCTTGGTTCTTGGGCGCAAAGTAACCAAGAAAATAAAGAAATTTTTAGCGAGAAAAAACAAAGGAGTAAAGGGTTGTTTTTTACCATGAGGAACTTGTGCTTGGCCTGCAAATTCTTCTTGACTGTATTTTCTTGGAGCCAGGTGGTGGGGACGTGGGGTTGGACGATGAATAGAGAGGCGGGGTAACGGAGTGACTCGCTGTGGTTTGGCAGATGGCGACACGTGGACGGCTGGATGAGTTTTGGCGCCTGGTGCACAAAAGCTCAACCGGCGTCGATTAACCATGGGACAGAGGTCTTTGATGGTGACATATGGACAGGGGTATTTGCGTGCATTAGGGAGTACGGAGGATTTGTGGCGTTTTGAATTCCCTCCATTGTTTTCCTTTTTGAGTAAATCAGCTCTATTACTTGGAGGGTAAAGTATTGCATTGGTTGTTTTAATCCCTATAAATGTTAGAGATAATCATGGTATAGTATTTGGTTTATACTGACATTGTACAAAATGTTTCGATTTGGTATGAGATTTTATATCGTACCGATCCTGATCCTGAAGTACCAATTCAATATGGTTCGGGATAGTTTGATTTCAGTTTCGGTAAGTATTGAGATGAATATATATCCTTTACTACTCCCTCCGTCCCGCAAAAAAGTTCCCATTTTGAATAGTATTTAGTCAAATATTTACATGCTTTGACTACAAATTGTGAGAAAGGTATATTGAATTATAAAATAAATTTAATATAATTGGATTCATCTTAGGATCTAATTTTGATATCTCAAATTTTTTTAACATTTCTTTATTTAGATTATATTTAATTTATGGTCAAAGCATGTAACTGTTTGACCAAAAATACATCTAAATGGGAACTTTTTTGTGGGACGGAGGGAGTATAATATTTGAAACTCCTCTGACTAATTTAATGTGCCAATTATTCAACAAGAATAACTTATTTTGTACTCCCTCCGTCCCAAATTAAATTACATGTTTACTATTTACAGGGTCAAACTTCATTCATGTTCTTTCTCTATTTTCGTTAGTCATTTGATAAAATAAAATAGTATTGTCATCAGCTCATCACTAGTCTTTTAGGTCTTTTGATGTATAATATAAATAGGAAATTTTAATTTTTTAATTCCACACCATTTTTTATATAAAATGATTTGAGAATAATTCTTGTCAAACTTCATAAACCGAAACATGCGATATAAATTCTAACGGAGGGAGTAAAATTTTTTAAATTATTTTAAAATATGCAAATGAAATTATTTTTAAAAAGATAAATTTTACACGTAAAAACGAAATAAGAAGAACTTTGGTTAAAAGAGGGTGTAATATAACAAAGAGAAATTTACTTAAATAACACTAAAACATAATGACTTTCTCTAAATAACATCACATGTGTTTTTCTTCTCAATGTAGTACTTTTAGTCATTATGCATTGGTCATTATTCAAGTAAATATTCGTCATCAACGGACATTATTAAGTACACTATTTAGGAAATAAAACAATTTAAGTGCTATTTAGAAAAATGACTTAAGTTTTATTACTATTTAATGCAAATATTTCTAACAAAACCCTTTTTGCTTGCACCACCCCGCCAGTTCACCTTTGAAGATAAAAAAGCATGAGCCTCATCCCTGGTGACTCCTCAAATCCGACCGGACGATTATTGTGAGAAAGTAAGTTAGACTTTGATTACAGATTCAGTCATTGACAACATATTGAGACCAACAAACTAAAGAACGATTAATCCCCATTTAGCTTTGTAGTAATACATGGAGAAAGACTGAAAGAAGCTGTGTTGAAGTCTTATTTAGCATAATTTTCCCAACAAAGTTTACGCCATACATATTTAAGAATTACATCCAAGGCTCTATGATACAAGTAACAACCTAGACACATGAATTAAAAAAAAGTAAAAAAAAAACATTCAAAAATAAGCTAGGAAAGATCAGATGAAGAGAACATAGCCGAGCATAACCGAAGAGTACCTTGTATAAATGTAGCAGGTAAGATAGAACAAATGTAACAAAACACTAGTTCTCTTCAGTGCAATTCAGATCAAAAACAATTTTGAATATATTTATATTTAGATCAGATTAGATCAGATCAAAACTTATTCTAATCAAATCAAAATCATTCAACTTAGATGAAGAGAGCATAACAAAACATAACCCAAAAGTACCTTGTATAAATGTAGCAGGTAAGATAAAAGAAATGTAACAAAACACTAGTTCTCTTCATATTAATAATGATGATGATAATTCACCAAATGGGTTCAACAATAATATACAGCTTAAAATCAGCATCAGTTGGCAGAACCACGGGAGCAGATTAGATTAAAATCCCCATGCCACAAAATAACCTCACCTATTTCATGATTAAATAATGATCAAGAAGCCCTCCTTAAAGCTGCAGATGAGATCAAGAGCATGGTGATGGAGGGGACAAGAAGGGAATTCATCTGCAGCAGTGAACTCCGGCCGCCGCCGCCGTTGTTCATGTCCGGCTGGCTGATGCCGCCGCTGTTGACGCCGCCTCCCAATGAATCTCCGGTGGTTGTGATGACAGCTGGGGAGTTGCTGGTGGTTGATGGTGTGCCTCCACTGCATCATTTCAACCATATCATATTACGGAGTAATTAAATGTGAACTTCAACATTGTTAGAGTGCATTCCACATCGAAAGTTCAAGAGTAAAATAATCGGTATATAAGCTATTGAATTGAACAAACTAATCGATTGAATTCAATTTTTTAATGTGATTCAGCTGAAGTGTCGTATTGTCAATCCAGTTATCCACGCCCCATCCTAAAACACTTCTACTTTACTTCAAATGTCTACGATTCGGTACGTTGAAAAATATTTCCGAACTCAACTACAAAAATGGACACATAAATATATTCTAAACCAACTCTTTCCTCATAATTAAGAACACATTACATGAGCCCAATTTTTTAGATTTTGCCATTATACTTCTTCCGTCCCAGTGTATTTGTCCAGTTTGACTCGAAAAAGTCAACACAACAACAACAACAACAACCCAGTTAAATCCCACAGAAGTAAGGTCTGGGGAGGGTGTGTGTATGCAGACCTTGCCCCTACTCGAAAGTAGAGAGGCTGTTTCCAAAGAGACCCCCGGCTCAACGTCGAAAGTTGCATTGCTTGACTAACTGCTACTTCATTAATTAAAGAAGCGCAGACAGTTTATAAATTCATTTTAATTTATTCCATCACACCCCAAAGCCAAAAAGTCAAACTAGACAAATACATTGAGACGGAGGAAGTAATAACTAACTTTATTTGTTACAGATTCGTGGTCTAATCTGGATCGTTTTTATGATGTGTATATTCAATTTTTCATCCATCCTAATTTACAGATTCACTTTGTGATTGTATATGGAATTTTTGTATGTATGGTTGATCCCTAGTATTTTCTATAGGTTATAACAAATATTTTCGAATTCCGCTAATCAAATGGATACATAAATGTAATCTAAACAATTTTTTTCTTCATAATTAAGATGACACAATTCATGTGACACATTGAGGTTTAATATCATAGCCTCATCCAGGAGAAAAATTAATGATTCCTAATCCCTTAAACTCTCTGCCCTCATCTCTTCACCGTTTGGCTACAGTAATCATTGTAGCCAATCGGCAAGCGGCGAAAGGAGGGGGCTGGGGCGCGGAGCAAGATATGGGATTAGGGTAAGAACCATCGATTTTCTGAACGAAATACCGTAATCAATTTTCTGAACGAAATACCGTAAGAATCTCGAGTCATGCTATGACACTGAACCTTATTGTAACATGAACCATGCCCCCTAACTGAGAACACGTTACACGTAGCCAATTTTACCCTTTCTCTCTTTCGTCCCTGTTCTTCAAATCCTCGAAACATGGTCCCTAACTATTACTTTTATTTTTCGAAATGGGTAAAAGAAAAGTTTTTCTTTAATAATCCAAACTTAAAGTGATCAAGTAATTTTTCGAAGTATAAATAATTTTTTTAAAAAAGATAAATAATAAAGCATTGTACTTGTAAAAAATAAATTGATAAAGTTAAAAAAATTGATAGCTAAATACTCCGTACTCTGTTACGTTTTAACCATAAATTGTCATGTCACAAATTTTTACTCTCAAGTATAGAAGTTGATAACAGCTGGGCATAGGGCCGGCCTTGGTGGGCCCGAACCGGCAGAGAAAAAGTTTTCTTGCTCTAGACTAATTGATTCGGCCCATTCTGTTTGACTTAAGATGCATGTTTCTCTTTAATCCAGGCCCACACACAAAATTCATACTCCGTACTTAAATAAAACCTCTTACGGAGTATTTTTATATCTTAAATACGAATATTAATGCTGTTAGTATCAAAATTTGACAAACCAAACGGCGTATATATAACTGGTACTCCGTATTATTTTAGGGGGCCAGTTCCCATGACATTGGGAACCAATGTCATTAAATGACACGGGAGGAGCTCTGGTGCCCCGTTCGTAAAATTGACGATTCCTACCCTCTAACTCCACTCCCGCCCCACCCCAACTTGAACACACCTCCTACCTCCTTCAATTGCGCTTCCCAAGTTAATTTTGACTTGGATGGGTGCAATTGAAGGGGTGGGGGTGTAATCGAGTCGAGGCGGGGTGAGAGGGTTTACCGGGGAGTTACGGAGGGTAGAAACCGTCAGTTTTACGAACGGAGTACCGGAAGACCCTGGGTCATCCTAATGTCATGAGAACCAAGGGTTATTTTAGATGTCCTCTAAATTAATAGCATTAATAAAAATGCAATAAACTCTATTATATACGAAGTACTATATAATTTGTCACAGTTAAAGATTAAAATTCCACATCTACTCCCATTCTTTTTTTTAAGTAAATTATTTTAGGACGGAATGAATATTTTTATTAATGCATGAGATAGAAAGGCATACCTTGCACTAGTCGGATATGCACAGCCACTTGAACCTGGATGGAAACCACAAAAAAAAACATGAGTCTTCTGTTTCTTTTTCAGAATTATGTTTTTGTGGTCTTGAGATTCACCCGTGTTCTTGGAGGAGTACTTATACCATATAACCGGATATACAGTGTTTCCCATACATCTGCATCAATACTCATACTCATTTTCGAGTAATTAAATACTCATCTTCGGGCATAACTGAACTTTAAAAAAATGAGTTTTTAATTACTCAAAAATGAGCATTCAATTGCTCGAAAATAATTTTTTTATTTCTGCAAAATAGTGAATTCTTTCATGTTGCTTATGTACTCGAATTAAGGTTCATAAAATGAGTGTGGACCACAATCTGGGTGACAATTCACTGTCAAAACTGGAGTGTCCTTTTTTTTTTGTAATTTGAATGGATCTAATCAGATCAGAATGAATCTGATCAGGTCAAGATGAATCAGATCAGAATAAATCTAATCTGATTTTGATAAAAATAAGCAATAAATAACAGGAATAAATTGAAGAGAACGGGCCATTACTGGGATCAGTAGTGGTTACAGTAGCAGTGCCAGAGAAGTCACAAGTGCCGGGGGCTTGGCCCTTCTTCTGGAAAAAGCTGTTGACGGCATAACTGCAATGGGCTTTGACTGTGTTGGGCTGGAAACATGGCCCATTCTGGTGGGTTGGGCCGCAGTCCGCTCCGTACCCACATGCATAGTCCAGTGTCTTTTGTAGCATACTCTCACTCACCCCTTCCTTGCACACACACCATGTTGCACCTACCCAAAAATCACATCCAAACATTTGTGAAAAAGTTAATGATAAAAATCTCTAACTGGGATTTGGTAACATCATTTTCAATTAGCGTTAACGTTTCGGATAACATTATAACACTGTAAATTAATCCTGAAAATGATATTGTTAAAAGCTACCATCAAATAACTTTTTCAAAACGCTAACGTTGATGCCAAACGTGCCCATACTCAATATCCCAAAAATAAAAAAATTAAATCTTTCTATACCAAAATAGAATTTATAATGTCAAATAATTGCAAAAAAAAATAATTACAACATATAATGTCAAAAAACATTACAAAATACTACACACACAATGCCAGATCAGTATACAGGCGGGGCCTACATTCCTATTTGAGGAATAAAAATATAAAAAAGAGACTAAAATAGGTCCAAAAGATAGGAAAAGAACCAAAATAGAAACTTTATATTTTTACCTCCAAAATAGGTTCAATAATGCCAACATGTGACACTAAAAAATAATGTAAAAAATTAATATACAGTATCATATTGTCACAATGCAGTAGTCTTATTTTACGAATAAAACATGTCACTCTTTTTTTTCTTTTTGGAGATAAGTGCTAATTTTTGTTTCTATTTTGGGTGATTTTGTAACATAAAATATTTTGGTATAAATGTCAGGTTTTAATCTTAGTTAGATTGCTATAACTGAAAAGCTAGAGCGCAGCATACACTAGTGGAGTTTTGCTTGGAAAGGAGATTTTGGATAAGCTAGTTTTGAAATGGGAAGATTAAGCTAATATTTGGTCATATGACATGTCAAAAAGACAATCACTTTATATTAGTTTATTTAAACATTCCATTTATTTTACTACTCGTATTTCAAAATGTCCCATTTGAATTTTGTTCCTTTTGCTTTTTCTTCTTTAAAATATCAGAAAATTTCAATAGTTCTATAGAAATTGCAAATTCTAGGAAATACGCGGTACATATAAGACATTAACCCAACAAAAAAATTAAAGGCCCTTTAGTGAGATTTGATATTTTTAGATATCAAACTCTTTCATGTTCTAAATGGAATTTTTTATATCTCTCGAATTTGCCTTCAACCACAATTTACGGACCACCCATGTCGGCAACAGAGTAACTAACAACCATCATTTCAAATATTTCCAAACAATTACTCTCTCTTTCTGTTCCTTTAAACCTTCATATTTTGACTTTGGGTCAAAATAAGAAAAATGTAATTTTAGTTGATTTTCCAAATTTTTTCCTGATGTAATGGATAAAAATAACATGTGATAATTTGGTTATTAGTGAAAAAGTATGATGCGATAAGTAGGGCATGAAAAAATAAAGTAATAGTGATTTTTTAATAGAAAGTAAGGGTGTTTTAAGGAATTGAAAAAAAATAAAAGGGGGGGAGTTTTATAGAACAGGGAGTATATTTCAGGTTTCAGAACTCATACTCTCTCTGTACCCAAAAAAAACTTTTCATATTTCTGTTAAAAAATCATTTTTGCCCTACTAATTTTTAACATAACTATCACATCTATTCTCTATTAATTTACTCATCACATTCAGAAAGATATTTTTGGAAAGTTAACACAAAAATACACTCGCCTTAGATTCTTTAAAAGTCAAAACTGGAAAGATTTAATTAGATGAATAGATTATTTTTTTCTTGATTTCAAAACTCATGTCATATCAATCTTTCTGAGTTCTAACTCAACTAGTCAACTTCTTGCATATGATACTTAAAGGAGAAATAAATTTAAAAGAAAAAAAAAGAACTTACTTGAGTGAGCAGCCATGGCCAAGAAGAGAAATGTAGACAACAAAGAAGAAGAAGAAGAAGACATGGTAGCAGAGCTAGAGAAAAGAACTCAATAATGCAATGTGATTAATTATTAGCCTTGGCACTAAACAGAGGCGGGTATGAGAGAGTGAGGAGCAAAATGAAAGGGCAGCGTTTGGAAAAAAAAGGGGAAAACAACCAAAAAGAAAAAATAAATAAATACAAGGACAGAAATTTAAAGTGGAATCTGTACTGAAAGACGATGGTGATGATATGATGTGATGTGGACGGAAGATGGCGGGTGGAGGGTGCTGGGTGGCCCCCCCGTCTGGTGGGTGGTGAGTGTTTAATGTGTCACTGTGCCAAACGGCTCTTTGTGGTGGAGGAAAATTATTTGAAAACCCCATTTTTGCATAATATTTTGTACGAGCATGCTACTCTTACTCCACTTTGTATCCCATTTTATACTCTAAACTTTTACTCTCACATAAAATGTAGGTACAACACTGACATAATACCAGTTTTGTACTTATATTTAATATCAGGGCAAAGCCTTGGAGTATCAGACCTGGACACAAGCCGAATCTGGCACCATCCCCCCCCCTTCCCCGTAACCATCAACTGCCGATTTCGGAATAGGCGGTTCCGACTCCGGACCGGTTTCGGTTCCGATTCCCGGGCCGATTTCCGGTGGTATTTAATTTTTTTTTCATTTTACAATATTTTATATTTATATATAAAACAAGTTAATTTGAAAATGTAGAGTATTTGTTATTTCAATAATGAAAATTGGATAGTACAATTTTGAGATGGTTTGGTGATGTGAAAAGGTGTGCACTTGAGGTCCCAGTGCGGAGATGCCAGAGGCTTTCGATAGTTGGAGGGTTTTGGGGTAGGGGTAGACCTAGGAATAATTGGAAGGATGTTGTTAGACAGGACTTAGGACACTTGGCTCTTACCGAGGATACGACATTAGATATGAACGTCTGAATATCTAGGATTAGAGTAGTTGGGTAGTTGTTTAGTCTAGAGTGCTAGTTTTGTTCATGTTGTTGTGTGTTCTGTTGGATTGACGTATTTCTTCTTCTAGTTTCCTAGGTATCTCATGTCTTTGCATACTCTATCCTCTTGTCATGTTACTTGATTTTTGTGTTACTTGAGCTTGGAGTCTCTTGGAAAGAGTTTCTCTACTTTTTGTGGGGTAAGATCTGCGTACACACGTACTCTCAAGAACCTTCCTCTATGGGATTATACTGGGTTATTGTTGTTGTTGGATAGTACAACTACATTTATTATCCTGACGGTTCAAAAAAAGCGAAGAGGTAAAAACCGTAAACAAACTCTCAAAATAACTTATAAATCAGTCAGCTAAAAAAATTAAAAAAATACGAAATCAGAACCGAACCGGGAACTGGCAGTTCCGACACAACCACTGTTTCACTCGGAATTGGACTCGTGTCCACCGATTCCAGCGCCAATTCCCTTATAATAAAAAAGAACATTATATTTCACTATTCAAAACTCAAAGAAATTTTTGTTTATTTTTGTGATTTCATTATTATTTGATAGTCCTTAACAAATTATTTTTGTCCCTTATTATTTTTTAAAACTTTTAACTTAAATGTTACATATACGAATTTTGTTTTTACTTTTTTACCAATCTTTTGATAGAAAAAACTGAAAATATTGAAAATTTTACTTCACTTTGAGTAACTTGATATTCTTTTTAAGACGGAGGATATATATATAAATCAGTTTACAATATTTGGCTAAAGTTATTTTTAAATCATTTTATATAAAAATTAGTATAGAATTAAAAAAAATACATATTTAAAAACTACGTTAAAAGACCTACAAAACTAATAATGACATGATTCTATTATTTTATCAAATGACTAACGAAAATAGGAAAATAAAGTAAATAAAAATTGACCTTATGAATAGTAAACATACAATATCACAATTTAATTTGAAACGGATGGAGTACATCTTAAACAGAATAACATTGCGAACTATGTAGGTATTTCTCTGTACTTATAAGCCGGTCAAAACTGTTTATACGTAGTTTAAACTTATAGGTCAACTGATGACATGTTTTTGAATGCTTATAAGCTCACTTACATACCAGAAAAATAAGTAGGTTTTAACTACATATTTTTAAATAAGTTTTTTGTTTCTCCATTTTGACCCAAGATTAATTTATGTAGGCGAGAACGTCTATGAATGTTTAGATACACCGAAAGTCGGGAACAAAAAGATTACAGAATAAGAGAGAAAAGTTACAGGACTTATTGGAACAAGGAAAGTTCATTTCATTTACAGTTTCTACATTCTTAGCATCTCTAAATAAAGAACAGTCCGTTTACACACAACCTCCGAAGAGGAAGATCTTCGCCCCCACTGGGTTTCCAGGACGGGGTTGTGGACAGTTCACATGAGTGGAAATATTCACAAAAGTACATAGACAATGAGGCTATCACAACGCGTAAAATGCTATTCCCAATCTGCATCAAAGAACCCCGCGTCTTTCATCTCTGAATAGTATGCCTCCTCCAGAAGCCAATCTTCTTCCTGTATTGTTTGTTGCCCCCAAATAGAACAACGATTAATATAGAAGTGAGTCAAGTGACAGATGAAGCTCAAAATGCATAAAAGAATGTCATTTTTATTGGGATGAGAAAAAATTTGATCATTGTAACTACCTGAAAGAAGTCGGCTAAAAACACGGCATATATTAAGGGGAGATACAGTGAGTGGTAGCCAATAACACCCAAATCATTTAACCTGCACCGTTAGCCATTCATGCCATGTTAGATAATGGATACCTAGAAGCAATGTTAGATATGCTCGGGTGTAAAATTCTAGAAATGAAATATGTGATACCAGAGACCAAAGCCAATCCCAAATCCAGCAAGTGCACAAGCACATAATATCACAACATTTGTCACAAACATCGCAATGACATATTTGTAGAAGGCCGGTCTGGCTGCATGTTGTTTATATCAGAAAGATTGATTTGTATCAACAAAATAGTAGTAGCAATTCTGTGAATGGAAAACATAAGGGGACTCACGGGGCAGATTATCTCTCCACTTGGAGAAGTGCACAAACAAAATGTACCCATAAGCTGCAGTTAGCAGGAGCCTATAGGCAAACCAGACGGCCCACTTCCCTCGGTTTGCTAATTCAACATCAACAAAGAGTGGAATCCTAAATCCAAATATAAGAACTACCTGTCGAAGGAGAGTAAGGTTATGGCCACAAATTGCATCCTGTTTTACTAATATTAGTTTTACAAATATCGAAGATCTAACCATGGTTGGAAAATTCGAACACAGACTCCCAACAAGGACAACAGAAACAATGTATCATGTGCTGAAATTTATGTAAATGGGGAACTGGATCTGACTCGGATAACATAAAGAGTATAACTTGGTTTGTGAAAAGAAATGGGATACACTATAGAAGAATAAATACGTACACATATAGCCAGTGCTGGCCAATTAAAAGCCCAATACATTAAGTTTACCACCCTTCTTGAAATGACTCGTTCACTAAATACATGCCCTAAGTGCATAAAAAGGAAAGAAAGAACCTATATTGTAAAACTCAACAGATGTGTTTTACACTCAACTGAACTTTGGTGTTGGAGAATTACTATAGTCTCACACTTTAGAGTATGGGCATGGAAAAAATGTTACCTTCAGTAGAAAGTCCACGCCAACAAAAAGACCAGACACAAAGAAAGTGCGTGTTAAAGTTTCCAATCCAGTAGAATAATTCTCGTGAAGTAAGAACGCCATTAGGCTAATCTCTAAACACAGCATTGCAGAAGCTGCAAACAATGACAAGAGATTCCAGGCAACAACCTTCCCAGGAGCACATTGCCATGCCTGTAGTAAACAATTACAACCTTACATAAGAACATGAAAATTCTTGACCAATTTAACCAAACAAATTAATAAGATCAATAGGACAAAAAGAATTTCAGACTGTTTTTCAAAGTACCCTAGGTTCTGTCATTACCCTATAAACAAAACTGCAGAACTATAGTCACATATATCTCTACATGGATTGAAAGAATTTTTAAAATGCTCTAAGCACCTAACAAGAACAAATGTTTTAAATCATCAAATGAATTCACAACCTAAGAAACTAAACCAATGTTTTCAGCTACACAATAGCTACTATATTACCACTCCTGATCCTGTTTCATTCAAGGTTTTAAATGATCAATTGAAAGATAATGTTAGTATAACATAATCAGTTTTAGTAAATAGTAACCATTTAACAATCCAATCTTACATGCCACCAGTTATTAGAATCTCAGTAATTGAACAAAATTTTGGACCAAACTAAACACAAGAAATTGAAGAAAAGCTAAATACTACATTTCCAAATGAAAAAACTATTTTCCATGGAACATTAGAATGCTTTAAGCTGTAATAAAGTAGCTAGAATTTGGGGGTTTCCCGTCTTAATCTAATTCTAACTAGTAAAAAAGTAAAATGGGAATTAATTGATAAGGAGTAAACTATTGCACAAAAATTCATGAACTCAAATATATAAAGATTAGTACCTGCAGAGCTGCCAAGGCAACGTTTACCAGAGCAGCAAACCACAAGAGCGCATAATATGCAATCATGACATGAGACAGTCGGTTCCTGAGTTTCTTAATGTTCCTCCTTGCATGAAACCCTAGATACAGCATGAAGATAACCGAAGGTACGACCAAGGTTGCGTCGTGCAAGAAGCTACGGCACACTGGGGCGGAAGTGCTGGGCCATCGGGAAATTAGGTGATTGCCGGCGGTAGCGACGCTACCGTCCGGCGACGATGCTCGATCTGTCAATAAGGCTTCTGGAATCACAGACATGTTCGATGAACTGGATATCAGAGAATAGAATTCATGGCAGACTGAAAATGAAAATAGCAAAACCCTTGGCAGATTGAAAGAATGACTGGAATGGATTCTCCGTGAAAACCAAGGTCGGTCACGATAAAGATCGGAATACTGACAACTTTGGGGGGAAATTTGCAAATTACCCGGAATTTGAGGGACGTGCCTTACAAAAGAAAATCAAGAGTTCACGTTTCATCTTTGGATATTCCAAATTAGACTCGCATGGGCACCTCAAGTGATCCAAGAAAAAAATGTCAAATTCATATATTATGTCTTAAGGTCGAATTCCGAGAGCGGCAATGTGAGAGTTGTAAGCTAAATGACTTCGCCTTAGGAGGTGCAGACGGATGCTTCTGACTTTGTCTTAGGAGTCCTAGTTCAAGAAGGTCATCTGGTGGCTTATGAGAGTCGTAAGCTTAATGACATAGAACGACGTTACACAGTCCAAGAGAAGGAGACGACAGTTGTGGTACATTGCTTGAGAATGTGAAGACATTACTTGTTGGGATGGACACGAAGTTCGTTGTGAAGAACTAAAGACCCACCACGAGTTACTTCGTTAATTAAGCAGAAGAAGCTGACACCAAAATAGGTAAGGTTGCAAGAATTTTTAGCCGAATTTGACTTTGTGATGGAGCATAAGTCATGCAAGAGAGACGTTGTGGCCGATGCCTTAAGTAGAAAGGTCAATCTTGCCTCCATCACTAGTTCGAGTTTCCCTTTGGTGGATTGTGTCAAGGGGGGACAAGATCAAGACCCGCAAGTCAAAAGACTGATGAAGTTAGCGAGTCAAGGGAAAACACGTTGGGGATGGAGGAAGGCTCAAGGAAACGGAGTGTATGTGCCAAAATGGCAAGGCTCAAGGAAGGAAACCATTAAGGAGTGTCCTAACTCAAGGTGGGCTGTGCATCCTAGAGTTAAGCGCACGATGGCACTCAAATGGACGGAATGTACCCTCGGAGTACATTGCCACAAATTTTAAGGACCCCCAGAGTATATTTCAGATAATGTGGGACCTGTGAGTTTTTTTTAGAAAATTGAGGGTACCGCGAAATATATCTTATGTAATGTGGGACCTGAGAGTTTTTGCGAGAAAATCGAGGATACCCCAAAATAATTTTCTGTAGTTATAGCATTACCTTTCTTTTTAAAAACAAATCCAACATTATTTCACAATAGTTATATCTTAGAAAAGTGTGTGTATACATACCCAAGGGTAGCCCTCAACGGCCTCAAGGCGCTGGAAATTTGCAATTGCACAAAGCCCCCTAATATTTTAGGACATCGAGTGAATATTGATTTTAATGTTGAGTGTCAACCATAGCTAGCTATTAGACAATTTAGTGTGGTGTGATGGATCACACTCATCGATTCATCCCATTCCACACAACTCTTGCCACTCAGCGTCTCTTCAGTTTTTTTCTTTTCTATCACAATCCACCAGACCACAGAAGTGTGAATTATGCCCATCACGCCCAAGTTTTTAGATTTGTTTGATAGATTTAAGTAAAAATAACTTAAAAGAAAACACTTAAGTATGTATTTCATTAAAATTCAAATTTAAAATTAAAATGACATAATGCAAAAAAAGAAGAAAGAGCAATATAGTATGAAATTACAAATAAAAAATTACTTGATTAAAAAAATCAAAGATCACCGTCAAAGTTTCCCGCTGCACCGTCAAAGTATATGATATGAAAGAGAAATATAGGAGAATGATTAGCCATGCCCTACTATTATTTACGAGTGAATACTAGGGAGTAGAATATAGATGAAGAGTATGTATTGGATCAATTAAAGCTTTAAATAAATGAAGATTGGTCATATGATTGAGAGCATTTTCTTCATTATTTCTTTTAATTTTAAACTAAGCTCGCATTCTATAATGTAAAAACTAATATCAACTACGTATAATATAATAAAATTTGGAACAAAAATGTTCGAAGTTCTCTTTAGCATATGTCAATAGTTACCATTATTCAGAGCTATAAACTAGCATTTGTCTCTAAAAGAATGTTCAATCGTTCTTTAAAAATTGAGTGTTTTTTATTCATCTAAATTCCTACGAAATTGTGTTTGCCTATTTTGTCATGAAGTTCCATAAAAATAATTTTATCTGGTTCAGTATGTATTTACTTTCATTGCAGTAAAACCTTGCTCCATTTTGTACAAAATTAGCTCTAGAATAAGCTGAAGCCCCCTTCTCAAGGCATAAAAAAAAAAGAAGTAATCAAAAAAAGAAAATTAGCTCTAGAATAAGCTGAAACCAGTATTCTTCTGTTGGCCTCTTATATCTGAACAAGGGCTAGCGACTCAAGAATTTTACTGCAATTTGAGAAGAACCCATCATGAAAAACAAACACATTACGAATCAGAATGCAAAGAATCATGTATTTACAAACCAGAGAGCGATTAATTATATCTGCTTTCCATATTTCTTTCGTATCCGATCCTTGACAAAATCATTCCTAGCCTTAGTCCGAGCTTGCTGAGGCCCAACGTTCACATACGAAAGATGCACTCCATAGGCAAAAACCGCTCCGCTCCCAAGGAAGCATGCAACTGTAATTGCCAACTTGGCTGGTGTCGAGGGAGAGCAAAAAACCATATCTGATTTTCAATAATCACACCAGCACGCCAAGTTATACATTAACCAGGGTAAAAAAAAAACATATCCTTCAATGATACATGGGGAAAATACAATTATTTTCATGTGATATTAGGTATTAAGATAAGTAACTCATATTTCCATATCGATACATATAGTGGTCGCATATTCAAAGCTCATACTTTCCAAATTCCGATCATGGGCTAAATTGTAGTTTGGATCCTGTAAGTAAACTCTTTTTATAAAACTAGTCATGTTGTATAATTTTGCTTTGGGAATCTTACATTTGACACCAACCTCTGATACCATAGTGACTCCCAACTCCGAAGACACACACAGACAGGCATTTGCGTCCATTTTCCAAACAACAGAGGGGCACGAGAGCAAAAATCCCATGCAGAGCATGATCATTCTCTATCATCGTTGCCAACACTCGAACTCACTTTTCATTAGTTTTCAAGTTTCAACCACTCTAAGGTTTAAGTTCTTTGTTATAAGGGTATGGAGATTTTCCACAACACCTCTTATTCTTGAAGGGTAACAATGGCGAGGATGAAATCAGGTCGTGAGAAGACAAGCAGGTCAATGATCATTGCAGGTCAGGTCTAAGTGTCTAACACAGTATCCCCATTATCACAAGTGGTTGTGATTCTCACACCAAGATTAATGCAGATATACAACAAAACTGTGTGGCGGCACAGATCAGCGTCTAATTATTATTGATCATTGCGAGTGATTCTGACACCAAGATTCATTAATAAAACTAAACTGTGTGGCCCAAATCATCACTTAAAAGATAATCTTGATCAATACACTGTATCTATATAATCACTTAATTGAGAATCTTTGATGAATACTCTGTATATATCAGCAAGATCATACTCTATAGACATCGTAAGAAATGGTTCTATTCAAGCACTGTGTACTTTCATCGAACATGTGGTGGGCAACAGAAGGAAACGCCATGAAAGGTCATATTGGTCTATATATATATATATATATATATATATATATATATATATATATATATATATATATATATATAAAATATATATATATATATATATATATATATATATATATATATATATATATATATACCAGTACTATTGAGCAGATTCGAACTCAAGAAATCAAAGCATACCTTAGTGAAGAAGATTGACGATGGGAATCAGGTAAGGTGCCTTCTAAGATTGGAGCCGAACAACATTTCCCCAGTTACTCGTGAACCACATTAAAACATTACGACCCATTGAAATCGCGAATGTAATTGAAGAATTGAAGGCAACGATTTTTTTTAAAGCCCAGCGGGTCCTAGACAGTAGATGCGGGTCCGTTTGGGAATATAACTTTTTCCATTAGCATTAGCGTTTTCAATTGGCGTTATCATTGGTGTAGATTAAATTTGAAAACGTTAACGTTAAACGCTGCTCGTTGATAGCCTTTTCAAAACGCTAAAGCTAACCTCTAAAGATATTACCAAACATGCCCTCCATCTAAGTAGCTCACAACCCACGATAGGAATTTATTATAAAGAGATTTCATATAAAATTTCATATTGTATTTATTATAATATTATATTCCCTCCGCTCCAATTTAAATTCTATGTAAAGTGTATACTATATATAGAGCCAAACTTTATTCACATTCTTTTTTACTTTCATTAGTTATTTGATAAAATAATATAGTTATGTTAGCACTAGTTTTGTAAATCTTTTGATGTAGTTTTTAAATATATAATTTTTAGTTTTTATTTGTACACCATTTTTCATATAAAATTATTTGAAAATAACTTCAGTCAAACATCGTAAACTAAAACATGCAATTTAAATTGAGACAGATGGCGTATATTCTTTCGTTAATTATAAAATCAATGTATATAAGATGTATATATATGTTGGATCCTAATTATTTCATAAACTATTATCAAATTGTACAGTGATATGAGACAAAAGATTTTTTATCCAAAAACTTAAGCGCGTGTCTGCTTAAGAGTCATATCATCGTGCCCCTCTCTTCTCTCTCGATCGCCACGACTTCACCCAAACATTGTCGCCCGCGTTTCTTCTTCTCCATGCCATCTTGTTGCACGTCATATGTTATCCATCCGGGGTCAAATTTTTACTCCCTAATGTACATTATCTCGTTCCCGACAAACTCGCCGACACAACTTATCCTGTGTGATCTCTGAATATTCGTGTCACGCTTGCATCCAATCTCTTGCTTAGACGTAATGAATCGACAAATGGAGAGAGGATTAGAAGAGAATGGGGGAGTTTGGGATGGTTATGTTTGAATTTATTCGTTCTGAATCTGATCGGTTTGCTCTGTATCTTTCTGATCTAGTCTAAATCCAATAAAAATAAACAATAAGGAAGAAACAAGCAGAAGAGAACGAGGTCTTAGTAGGTAAAAAAACAATTTTCAAACACAAGAGAACAACGTAACTATCCAATGATACCATGCCGCTTTGGTTCAATGTTAATTGCGAACCAAAGTGAGCGCAAATTCCCTAACGGCGTAAAGAGGCATGAACGTACTTTTAGATCACAAGCCATGAATGTACTTTGGTTTAATGTACATTTTTATTCTAGGCCAAAGTGACAAGTCTAAGGCTCAAGAGTGCTTAATTCAATTACAATGACATCTTCAAATTAGAATAAACATGGGCCTTCAATCGGGGCGTTGCGTGCACCACGAGCGGCTCGGCCCTTTGAAGGGTGAGCCCATAAGCTTCTTCCATGTCGAGTTTCTCCGCGGAAAGCCCATCAGGCAAACCCCAATCAAAAGCATGGACCAAAGTCGCCACCAACAATTGGACCATCCTCAGGCCCAAACTCATCCCGGAGCAAATCCGACGGCCCGCTCCGAACGGGATCACTTCAAAATCGTTCCCTCTCACATCCACATTGGGCTTTTCTCCACCCATCAGAAACCGGTCCGGTCTGAACTCGAGTGGGTCCCGCCACGCGTTCGGGTCACGTGCGATGGCCCACACGTTGACGAGGAGGGTCGCGCCCTTGGGCACATAGTAGCCGTTGATCTCGCAGCTCTCGGCCGCGATTCTCGGGAGAGAGAGTGGGGTGGACGGGTGGAGCCTAAAGGTCTCTTTGACAATTGCTTGGAGGAATGGTAGTTGGGCCAAGTCTGACTCTGTCACCACTCGGTCTAGGCCGATGACCGCGTCCAACTCTTGCTGGGCTTGGTTTAGGATATCTGGGTTACGTAGTAGTTCTGCAATGGCCCATTCCACCGTACTTGATGACGTATCGGTCCCCGCTGTAAACAAATTCTACATCCACAGAGATTACCTCAAATTAGTGTAATGCTCCAAACCAATTCTTTACATTTTGTTTTTGTTATAGACATTTTGACCATTTAAAAAACAGAATTTTAAATAAATCAATATAATAAGTTTTAAAAAATCAATATTATAAATATGATATATCAATATTAAAAAATCAATTACTTTTTTAAAATTTGTCTTCATTTAAAAAAGGTTTGTATATTTATTTCAACAACTATGGACTTAAACAAAACTAAAAAAAAAAAGTTGAAGTGTGATTATTATACGCAATTAGAAGATGATGAGATTATTTTGCGTAACCCTGTGAAAGATGAAATTATTTTAGACAAATAATAAAACAAAAGAATATCAAAATAATCATTCCGTTAACTTTTCCATCTCGAATTGTTCTTCTCGTTTATAATTTGAAGTCTCTTAATAATTTAAGTTTGTATGCATGTTTTCATTGATCATTTAATAAAATAAAATATTTTTGTTACGACTTGTTTTGTAAAAATTTTATGTAGTTTATAAATTTTGGATTAGTCTTGACTTTTGAATAGTGCAAATAAAATCATTTTAAAAGATACTCCCTTCCCCAAAAAGTCAGTTACATTTCGAAAAATTTGCGTCCTTTAAAGTCCTTTCTATTTCTATTAAAAAACCACTCTTACTCCTTACTTTTTTCATACCCTACTTTTTTCTAATAATCTACTCATCACATCTTACTTTTACCAATAACATCAAGGATATTTTTAGAGAGTCAACACCAAAATATTTCTCCTTATTTTACCACTTTAGTCAAAATGTACCAATCTTTTTGGGACGGATGGAGTATAATTTTACACATTATGAAGAAAAGAATAAATTGGGGGAAAAGGAGGGAGTACGGGAGTAGGTAGTTAGTCATGGAGAAGAATAAATTAGAGGATGGAAGGGCATACCAGGAGCAAAGCCTTGATTTCCGTGCGACTCAGTTTCCCACCGGGTCCGTCAACGTCATCGTCATTCAGTGAAATAAGTGTGCTCAGAAAGTCCACGTGTCTCGACGCTTTACCACTGACGCCGTTAACGGTGGCGTGCTCGTCCAAGATGGTGTTCAGGAACGCGTCAAGCCGCGCGTGCACCTTCTTCATCTTCGCCGCAATCCCCTGCAGATCCAGCCACTCCAAGGCGGGGATGAAGTCGCCGACGTTGAAGGCGCCGGCAACCACCATCATCTCCACCACTATCGACTTGAACTCGTCCGCCTTCGGGTCGATTGTCGCCGTCTGGTCGGGGAACACCTTCCGGCCGATCAACACGCGGCTGAGAGCGTTTGTGGCGCACACGTAGAGGAGCTGGCCGAGTGTCACCGGAGCTTTGCCTGCACTTGCGATGGCGCGCGTGAGGACTCCTACCTCCTCCTGCAGGAATTAAATTGTTATACCAACTCAACAACCTTACCATTATATTTCAGAATTAAATTGTTTTTTCTTTTTTTAAAAATTTTCTCTTTCATTTTTTCTATTTTCAACAAAACATTTTCATTTTTTATTAAAAAATCACTCACATCATATTTTTTCTCTAATAGTCTATCCATCACATCTTAATTTTACTCATCACATCAAAGACAAAATTAAAAGTCAACTACGATTTAACACTTCCTTATTTTTACACTTAGTCAAAATAGGAAGTCTTTATGAGCGGAGAGAGTACTAAAACATATGTCATTTCCCAATGTAGTATTTAAATTTTTTATTACCTAAATAGTACTTGAATAGTATCTAGTAGTGGAAACAATGTCTAGTGATGACAGACATTTATTTAGAATAATATCCAGTGGCAGTGAAAATTTACTTAAACAATAATCAATGAATAACGACCAGTGATAATACATTGGAAAATAAAAACATACTCCCTCTATCCACAAAAAAAACTTCTCATTTACAATTAACAGGGTCAAATTTTATTTACTTTGTTGACCTATTTTCGTTACTCATTTGATAAAATGATAAAGTTATGTCACCTCTAATTTTGTAAATCTTTTGATATAGTTTTTTAATATGTAATTTTTATTTTTAAATTTTACACTATTTTTCATATAAAAATCAACTTGAAGGGTGCAATTGAAGGGGGTGGGCGGTGCGTTTGGGTCGGGGCGGGGTGGGGGGTTTACCGGGAGGTAGGAACTGTTAATTTTACGAACGGGGCACCGGAGCACCCCCGGGTCATCCCATAACATTGGTTCCCAATGTCATGGGAACCAAGGTGTTTAAAATATTAGAATTTTGATATATGTATTATTATAACATTGATTGTTACTACCTCCGTCCCAAATTATAATGCCTGCTTACTATTCACAGGATCAAACTTCATTTATTTTCTTTCTTATTTTCGTTAGCAATTTGATAAAATAAAGTATTATTGTCATTACTAGTTTTATAGATCTTTTGATTTAGTATTTTAATATATAATTTTTATTTTTTAATTATATACCATTTGTCATATAAAATGATTTGAAAATAATTTCAGTCAAACATCGTAAACCGAAACAAGCGTTATAAAATGGGACGGAGGGAGTATTTTTAAAGAAAATACTCCCTCCGTCCCAGAGTATTTGTCCACTTTCATTTTTACACATCATCCAATATACTTCTTTAATCCATTTTATCTTATAATTTGTATATTAAAAAATTATAGAAATTATATATTAATAATTTATATGTTAAGACAAATCAAACAAGATCACACATGACTATATTTAGGCTTACACATTTAGAGAATTTGATGAGTCAAAGTACTTAGATGAACAGTTTCAAAAGTCAAAAGTGGACGAATATAGCGGGACGGAGGTAGTAGTTTATTACCGCTGAATCCTAAAGCCCGGTCATGCACTTAAATTAAAATTAGTTGTAATTTAAAATTTAAAAGTGGTAAACTCGATTGAATTGAAAAATAAATAAAAAATAGTCAATGGTTTGTACAAAGAGAAATTAAAGTGAGCAAAATAATGTTTTTTAGGGGTACAAAAATTGAGCAATGATTTACGGGGAGGAAGTATAATTCAACATTTTATTCTCTTTCTTCCTCAAGATACTCCGTATTCAATTCTTCCCTAATTTCTTCTTCTCCCTAGATCAATCTTTATATTTATATATCAAATTTGATAATTAAACCCATAAAAATGTGATAAGTAGCGAGTTTGCATTGCAAAATTTTTGCAAATTATCAACCACCTATTAAATGACTTGAATGATGTTATAATTTTAATCAAAATATGGGTAGATCTAATTTAAGTTGTATAGAGAATATATATGACTTATATATATATACGAGTTCCATATATTTATGGAAATATCAAAATAGAAAAAGTATCAAAATAAGAGAAAGTACCAAAAAATATTAAAATAAGAGTAAAACATGGAGAAATTATCAAAATACAAGTTATATATTTTTATCTTAAAAAAAGAAGCTACCAAACATGAGATTCCTTAGTTTCAAAATAATAAAGTATTCCTTCCGTTCACAAAAAGAGTTCTATTTTGATCAAATCTAGAAATAAGAAAGTGTTAAATTGTACTCGTAATTGACTTTTAATTTTGCCCTTGATATGATTGGTAAAAGTAAGATGTGATGGATAGATTATTAGAGAAAAAGTATGATGTGATAGATAGGATATGAAAAAGTAAAGATAAAAGTAGTTTTTTAATAGGAAGTGAAAGTATTTTGTTAGAAGTGAAAAAATGAAAGAGGAAATGTTTTTTAGAACGGAGAGAGTAACATTTATTATACCATGCACAATTGTTTTATAAAAAATTTCTTTATATGTATACCATGCACAATAATAAAGTAAAATTTATTTATGTGTAATAAGATAATATAGTCATGTCACCATTGTTTTATAAAAAAATCTTTATATGTAAATTATATTTTTTATATCTTAAGCAATTAATAAATAAAATTATTTTAAAAAATCATCTGGAAGGAAGTTTTATCCGGAAAAGAGGGGCATGCAATTAATGACCTGACGGACATGGCAGAAGTCATCCAACGCCTTAGCGGAGAAGAGATGGACGGCGCAGATCTTCCGAAGCATCCGCCACCGGGGGCCATACGGCGCGAAAACCATATCCTGGTAGTTATAGGCAATGTGCTTGGCGCCGGAGTTCGGCGGCCGGCTGGAGAAGTTCGCGTCGTGGGCTTTCAAGAACTGCGCCGCCACGGATGCGGAGGCGGCCACCACCACGTGCACGGACCCCAGGCGCAGGTGCATGATGGGCCCGTACTTCCGGGCCAGGCCCGCAATCGACTGGTGCGGCTTCTGGCCCAAGTCCGGGAGGTTGCCGACGATCGGCCACGGCTTCGGCCCCGGCGGCAGAGGGAGGGGGTGGCGGCGCTTTGCCACGTGGCGGCGGAGGAGAAAATAGACCAGAATGGCTAGAATGGGAGTGGATAGGATACTGACTAAGGGAGACATGGTTGTTCTGGTTGTGTGGAGGATGCTTTCTCGTTTTTGGATATGCCTAGGCTATTTTCTTAGTTACTTTTTTTTTGTCTGTCTTTTCTTTTCCTTTATAGATGAGAGCTACGTTGGGGGCTTGGGGTTTAGGTGGGGTGGGTGGGGCCAGGGCACTGGTGCTGTAAGCAGGAGCACCGAGCAATTCACCAACCTGACGCCAACGCATGAAGTTGAGTAATGTTAGGGGTACACCCCTAGCATTTTTCCATGAAGTTTTTAAGAAGAATTTACTCCCTCCGTCCCATATCTGTCTTCCCATTGCGCAAAACGAAGAAAAATTTCAAGTTTTTTCAATCTATTTTATTTAAATATTGGTATAGAAATAAAAATAAAACATACATATTTAAAAACTACATCAAAAGTTCAACAAAACAAGTGGTGACAAGAATATTTTATTTTATCATATAGGCCATGAAAAAACACAAATAAATATAAATTTCCGTGAAGTTAGAATAGTGCTCTGGGAAGAAAGTTTTAGGACGGAGGAAGTATTTAAATATGACTAAAACATAATGATTTTTTTAGGGCACTGAAAATACCTATGAAGTAAATATTAATGACAAAATAGGAAAAAAAATTCATTTATTAATGCTTATAGATGAAATATTGGATGGAATGTCTTCTCCTAGTCATTACAACAAAATGTAAGGACTTTTATTGTCCTTTTAAAAATAGAAAAGTCTGAGAACTATTTTAACAAAATCTGCGTCATGTGGACAGAGGAAGTAAACATAAATAGGCTATGGGAGGGGCAACGTGCGCCCTGTGTCACACGGTCTAACACCTAAACGAAATGGGAGGGCGAGTGTGAGGAAGGGCTTGACTGTCATCCTTCACGCCCAAACCGAATGGCCTCACTCGAATATCTCCAAATCAAATTTTCAACTACTCGTATTATTAGTTTAAGTTTTTTTACATTAATACTCCAAAAATAATAAATGACATTCTGTTATAACTCTAAGAACTTACATATTTTTATGATATTACTTCCTCTCGTTTCCACCTCACTTTATCACATGTCCCATCTACTCTTGTTTTATGATTCGGTGAGTGGCGGATCTAGAAATTTTAGCAATTTATGCACCTTCAGTTAAGAAAAGGTAGGTTCCGAGGGCATTGCCTCTAATTTTTTCTTAAAGAATGTTAAAATAATAAGAAAATAATATCAAAAGAATATTCAGATAATCCAATAATTTATTTAAAAGAACTCCGTAGAAAAATATGATTTACGAAGTATATATAAAGTACATCATAATTCCATTTAAATATCATATTTTAAATATTTTACTATAAATTTTATTTGAATAAATATTTTTTGTCTTTTAAATGATTTTTTTTCCAATTTATTGAAAAATATATTTCTGCTATAATAAAAATAAAGAATCTAAGGGTAGACTAATACTTGTGCACTAATTGTACACCACGTTTGTCACAGAGACATAACAACAACTGTCTGTGCAGTCATAGACAGTTATTATCTGTAAATGAATGTGAAAACTATGGTGTATAATCTTCTAATATACAAAGCGAAAGGGAACAAATGAACAGTTTTATCTTCTCGCCTAAAGTTCTCGAGCATGGTTTGGGCATCAAGTTCGAGTATTAGATTGGGCAAAGAAAAAATTGATCCGATTGACCAAATGCATTTTTGATTGGGCTAATGGGTCATTGGTAGTTGGTACCCGTGAATGCATTAAAAGCATGTTTTGGGATATGTATTTTGATGGCTTGCGTTTCATTTTAACCAAGATATTTTATTACCTAGAGCATATAAATATTGATTAAAGCAATATAGTTGTAAATTACGAGTTCTCTTACCTAGAGACTCGAACCCTTCTTATCAATTAAACATTGATTAACGCACTAAACATTTAATGTATGTAATAGATGAAATACATTGGAAAACGTGGGTATTGAGCCATGAACTATTTAATGCAAAATGTGAAGTTAATTAAAAAACAAGGAATAATTCAAAAACATGTTTTGAAAATTTACCAAATTTTCGTGGCCCTATGACTTAAATATTTTGATTTAAAAGAAGAGAAGTATCCTTCAATTTTGATTTAACTTTTAAGTACTAAAAAATTCTTTAAAGAAAACGTTTTGATACCTAGAACATATAAATTTTAATTAAAACAATTAATAGCTATAACCTACGAATTGTCGTACATAGAGCCATGAACTAATCCAACAAATTAAACATTACTTAACGAAATAAACATTTAATGTATGTAATAGATGAAATATATTGGAAAATGTGAGTCTTGAGCCACGAACCATTTAATGCAAACCATTTTGGATATGACAGAAATATTTTGATTTAAAAGAAGAGAATGGTATTTCTATTTTGATTTAACTTTCTAAAAAAATTCTTTAAACAGTCCTGGGAAGGATACTTTTTTTAAAACAAAAACATTATTTAATTTTTATTGGTTTAATGTTAACTAGACCCTATAGGTATTGATCAAAGCAATTAAAAGCTATAAGCTACAAGTTGTCATACATAGAGCCACGAACCAATACCACCAATTAAACATTGGTTAACACATAGATGAAATACATTGGAAAACGTGGGTCTTGAGCCACGAACCATTTAATGTAAACTGTTTTGGATATGACTTAAATATTTTGATTTAAAAGAAGAGAATGATATTTAAATTTTGATTTAAGAACAAAAAAATTACTACTATTTCTTAAAAGAAGACGGTATGATACTTTGGTAAGAACAAAAGCAGTTAATTTTTATCAATTAAATGTTACTTATAGCCTATAAATATTGATTAAAGAAATTCCCAGCTATAAACTACAACTTGTCATACATGGAATCATGAACCAATACAACCACTTAAACAATGATTAACGCAATAAACATTTAATGTATGTAATAGACTTGATGTAACACCCTAATCCGTCCAGGTCTGCAGCCAGATTAAAGTATAAACTTGGTAATTGTAAAGTACAGTTTAAAACATTTCAAACATTTTAATTTATCACAATAATATTTTTTATAATATAAACAGTACGGAGTTCTCAATATTGCGGAAGCTTAACAAATCACAACCATAATTAGTTTATGTCCTCCAATTCAAAACCATCACATCATCCCGACTATCTCGCCTCCGTCTGCTTCCAGGATCACGTCACACCATTCTTTCTATTTACCTGTGTGTAGCATATAAAACATACTACATGCTCAGCGTTGAAGCTGTGTAAGGATATCTAATGCGTCGAACATCCATATAAATTGAATCTCAATTCATAATCAAATCATTTGATATCATGCACAAAAAGTTTAATTTAAAGTTTAATTTAACCCGGCGGTTTCCGGCGGGTCGGAGCGTTTTCCGGCCAACTCCGGCGAAATTGACGGCGGGAACCAACTTCAATGCGGTCGTTGCATCCGGGCGACCTCTAGGGACACCTCAATTGCAAGATTTGATGACGATTTGAAAAACCCCCAATTTCGGACCCAATTTCGAATTTTAGGGTTTTTCGAGTAGAAAAATTCAGATTCGAGAAGTTACAGGCCAAATTAGACAAAATGGTTTGGATATTATTGATCCTCGTCTCAAGACGAAAAGAATGACATTGGTCCCGCTGGAATCGGAAAAAGTTCATTTTCCGGCGACTTTGACCGACGGGCGGCGGCGGCGGCGGCGGGGCCTAGAAGAAAAGAAAAGAAGAAATGGGGTCAAATTGAAAATTTTAAAATATATAAAATTCGAATTTGGCCCTAATGACCGGAAATTAACCTAGAAACGGGCTAATGGCTCATTAGTGAAAGGATTGTGTAAGTTCAGGGATTTTTGTGAAAGGATTTGAAGTTGAGGTACCACTTCAAAATTCCAGCTAAAGTTCAGGTACAATTACTGAAATTTACCCTAGGTGTCAAATGAGGTAAGAAAGTTGCTTTCACTTTAGTTTTGTTTTCACATCCCCTTCATAGCCTCACCTCTCAACCATTGTCATCTCCCAGTCTCATCCTTACAAACCCTAGCATGCCAGCCACCGCCAACGCCCAGTAGGGGCAGCGTAATTAAGCAGCTACCGTCCAAGCCGCCGGCTTCCGTTTCCACTGTGCTGCCTTCTTCTCTCCCCCAATTATCTCTCAAAGTCTCAAACGCCATATTTCTTAAGGTTAGTACCTAATTTTGTTTTTTTAATCTCTGGCTAATTGATATGCTTAATTGAATAACTGTATTAAGTTCCTTGTTCATTTATCTCTGACTGAAGTTGTGCTATAGGTCGTCTATTCGTAATGGTGTTTATCCATTGCAAAGTTGTGTCCAATTCAATTTCATACGGGATTTGTTATAACTAAACAAATTTTTGGACATGGAAATGGTTGAACTAGTAAGTAAGTTCAAAGATGGGATTGCTATGAAGATGCATACATGTTGGTGATTTTAGTGTCATCGGTTTATTTTGTGTAATTGGATTTACTTAGATAGGACAAGAATTTTAAATATACGTTGTAAAACAAGTTGGGAGGCGCGGAGTGCGCTCGTTCAACGATATTACAAATTCACTACGGGGTCCGGGGGCGGCAGCCCCCGGGTAGCGGGGTCCAAGGGGCAGAGCCCCTGGCCGGGGTCGAGCTATCGGAGTCCAAAACAGTAAAGGACTCGAACTAAAGGGTAAACGTCGAAATACACTCTAAGACTTCAAGAGACTCTTCGTTCAAACTCGCGCCTTTCTTCTTCCCCGCACGAACGTACGTGTACGTCTACGCGAACGTTCATGTCCGATCATGAAAATTTTTGACTCTATAAAATAGAGTCTCGTGGTATGGATTGGGACACGGATTTTCGAGTGCTTGTTGTTGATTAACGTCTTATCCGATTGAAGTATTACGTATACTCCGAAATAACTTTGATCTGAAAGTGTTTCGTACGCGATTCGTTATACTATCGAGTTCTTATTTAACACTGCCTCACAGTGTTCTTCCTTAAACAATTCCAACAATACACATTCAAAGAGAAGAGTTTCACAATCAATAATGAATATCAGGATCGTTCAGGAGATTGATTGATCTGTTTTTGTTAGGTCCCTTAAGTGGAAGTGGACTATTCTTCTTTTCTGTTTTAGTAAAAAAAGGCAGAACACGTTACCCCCCACCCCGAGGGTCCCCCACACCCCTACCCTGGGTTGGCGGAGGAGGTAATCTGCGGGATGTGTCTCAACTGGCCAGGGACAATAGAATTTTTGCCACGACTAATCTCACGTACAAGGGGCCGAGTCTAAAAGGAGTCGTCTCCAAGATTTGAACCTCCACCAGGTCGCCATCAAGGCTCGCCAAGTGCTTTTGCCTGTCTTTTCTGCTTTAGTGAATGGAGAACTGGTGTATATCCTGTTCTTCACTTAATCACTTCTCTTTAGAGTGAGGTCAAAATATGGTTGACTTTGGGTTAACTTGCTTAAGCAGTCTTGGAAACCCACATGGCCATGCTGACCTAGCCATTGTTGCTAAAGACTCAGCCTCAGCCTCACCTATTCAGCTCTACTGTTTTACTGGGCTAACTCTAAACACGTCTATTCGCCACCGCTAGTTATAATGACAAAAGTTTTTGGGTAAACACTGAGCCTATATTCTATCTATTTTGGGCTTCTGCATTCTGTTATGGTGCCTGACTGCCTGCATTTGTTTCTTTGCTTATCTACTTCTAATCCGCTTTGAGTGTATTCCTTTCGAGCCAAGGGTCTTCACGGATGGAAGTAAGGTTTGCATACATCCCACCCTTCCCAGAATCCCAGACCCCACTTGTAAGAATACATTGCATTTGTTGTTGTTGGCGGTGATTGAGTTTTAGCAGCTAAGGCCTTTGGTGCATTATGGTTTTTGGCCATCACCTACTAGGCCTACTTCATGTGTCTGGTTCTAATTCTACGTTCAAGTATTACTAGTTTACTACGTAGAGTGGACCTTCACCTGGCCAATAATGTTGGCTAAGCTTTTGATAGGGAGAATTTTGGAAAGATATAATTTCAAAATAGATATATTTTCAATATAATCCACACTATTAAAAAATTATCCAAAACCCCTCCAAACAAGGCCGTATGCGTTTATAGAATTTTCAATTAATGTGGACTTTGAAGCTTTTTTGTTAGAATAAATGGCCTAAGCTCTAGACTTTTTTCCAAAAAGGATTGCATAAGTTTTATTGTTTATGTGCATTTTACCTATTTTTTTTTTCATGTTTGTGCTAATCTTTCAATCCAAATTTTCCAGAAGCCACAGTTCCATGGCAACTCCACTTCCAAACCACACGGTTCTTGACCAACTCAGAACTGGTACGGCTCAATTCGAGATCGTATCCTCCCCATCCCCATCCCCTTCCACCACAAACACCATACACTCTTTCCTGAAAACCAACCACAACTCCCCATCATTCTTCGCCAGAATCCGGCCTCCACTTCCCCCACCAGCCAAAAGGGCAGAGCGCTTCAGGGTTGAGAAGGTAGCTGGGGACGGGAGGTGCCTGTTCCGTGCCCTAGCGAAGGGCATGGCCAGGAACAAAGGGATCCTCACCCTAACCCCGCGACAGGAGAGAGAGGACGCGGACGAGTTGCGAGCTGCTGTCAAGGAGGTGATATGCGAGGACCCGAACGAGCGGATGCTGTATCAGGACGCAGTCGTTGCGATCACGGTCGAAGAGCCACTGGGAAGATATTGCCGGCGCGTAGGGCGGTCGGACTTCTGGGGGGGAGAGTCCGAGTTGCTGGTGCTGTCCAAGTTGTGCCGACAGAGGATTGTGGTGTATATACCGGCGAATGGCGGTTCGGGTTTTATTCCCATAGCGGAGTACGGAAATGGTTTGGGGAAGAGGGAAGAGCCAAGGCAGGTTGTTAGGTTGCTATATAGTGGGGGGAATCACTATGATTTACTTGTTTCATGAGAAAAAAATACTTGTATAATGTATTCTCCAGTTCTTGAGTCTCTTGGACTCGTTTGGTGTAATGAAATGTGATGCATGTATTGAGGAAAAAATATTTGGAAGGTTATAATTTTCTATTTGTGACATTGGATTTCAATATTATATTATTATGACCTCTTTGGAGTTTCTACACTTGTTTTATTGTGTTCCGAAAAATAAAATATCTCCTCGTCCCAAATTAAGTAATATGTTTATTATTTTGGAAAAAGATTAAAATAAAAGTAAATAATTGAAAATATAATAAAATATGAGTTATATATAATTATTTACAGTGTCAATTATGATTATATACGTTACTAAAAAATTGTGAAATGTTCATATATAGTGTCACATTGCCACAGTGCAAATTCTTATTATCATAGTACTTTCTTTATATTTTACTTCTATTTAGGGTAATTTCTTTTATTATTTAGATGATCAAACTTCATCAACTTTCCTTTCCTATTTTTGTAAGCCATTTATTAAAACAATATGATCATGTCTCTTCCTTTTTCGTATAACTTTTGATATAATTTTTAAATATATTCCGTATAGATTTTATTTTTTATTTATACCATAATTTCTCAAATTAATTGACTTAAAAATAATTTTAGTCAAACATTATAAATTAAAACATGCGATTTGAATTTAGATAGAGAGATACAAAATGAGGGATAGTCTAAATAGATTGTGTTTTCCCTATGAATAATGCATGGATCTTCTCATATAAGCATATTTATGATTAAAATAAATAAATAGATGCATCCCCTAACATTATGAAAATACTAATGTAGCTGTAATTCCTGTAAAGGAGAGGCGGGAAAAATTATGGGTCAAAAGCAAAAAGGGGAAATGTAGAGCTAAAAGGTCTGGTTTTAAAAGATGTAAATGCTTCATCCGTCCTTGAATTAAATTCAAATTTTGATTTTACGAAATTTGTATTAAGAAAAGGTGTTCAAAATTTAAAAGTACTCCGCATATTCTTATTCTTATATTTTTAAAAATTGAAAGTTATTTTAAATATATACTTCATCTCATATTAAGTTTATCGTTGTTTATCATGAAGTTATTTTTAATTTAATTTGAGATTTGGTAATTAAAAAATAAATTCATATATTTAGATAGTACATACGGAGTAAAATAATTTACAAAACAAGAGGTATCATGATTGTATTATTTTTTTTCAAATGGTAACGGATAAGCGCAAAAGAGTGATCAAAGTTAAATCATATGAAGAGTAAACAGAGAACTTGAAATGCGACGAAGGAATACAATAAAAGAACTATTCACTTAAACCAACAAATAAACTTACGAATATAACTGCATTTGATAATTTTCCATGGTTTCAATAGTATTACATTCCTCAAGTGAAAAGGGTGTGCTCCATTGTTTGGGATGAATCATGAATGAAGTACTCCATGCATTTAAAAACTACAAGAAAGACATCTCTAGCTCGAAAAACATGACTATATTAGTAGCTATTTAGAGGAAGAAACACAGTTACACAAAGATCATTTCTTTTCAATAGTCAATGTGCTTTCTAAATCTGTCAACAATGCATGTTTGGGGTTGATGGCATCTTTGGTATGTCAAGTCATTCAAGAGAAACAGTGAACCATCTTTAGGAGAGTAATAGGCCTAGAAAAATTACAAATTAAAAGTTGAGAGAGAGAGAGAGAAAGCCGTACCGATTAAAAATGCTCTTAATCACAAACCTCTAAGTAATGGTGAAGAATGTCTTATTCCTCCTCGTCACTATCGTAAACAATTGTTCTTCGTCGATGAGTTGTCTGCCTTGGAGGAGATTCCTCCTCGGACTCTATTTCCTTTCGTTTACGGCTTGGTCCAGACTCCCTAACCTTTTGTTTTGTCTCCTGGATATGTTTAGGGAAAAGAAGGTTAGGAAAATATAATAAGCAGCAACTATATATATATATATATATATATATATATATGAAACACAGGCTCTAGGCAAATGTGAAATAATATATGTTTCTCTCTTTCGAGCTTATCATATAAACTTGTGAAGTACTAATTAATGTAAACCACCCTACTACGTAAGGAGTATTTATATGGTGTGGGAAAAGGAAATGGGGCGAGAGATGTATCGTTTCCTTACCTCAGCTTCCTCTTCTGATTCTTCATATGCCTCTTCCTCTTGTTCATGTTCTTCCTCTTCATACTCATTGGCCTTCTCTTCTTCACCCTCAGTTTCATACTCAGACTCCTCGCTTTCAGAGAAATCTATTGGGCGTTTAGAAGGTTTTGCAGCTGGCATTGATACCTTCCTTGGAATCTCTCTCTGCGGGACAATAGATTTCAGATAAATTCATCAGACAGATGTATTTCAAATAATACTCCATAAAATAGGGATAAGGGACCACATTTTTGCTCACCTTTTTGGCATTCATTATTCGCCTCTCAGCTTGAGCCTCCCTTTCAAGGTCTTCATCAAAGCGATGCCGAGCTGCAGGCTTCCGATGCTCGTAATAATCTGCCTCCTCTTCCTAAAACAGTAATAATAAAAAAAAGTGCAATGTTTTTACTAGGGTCCAAGGCCTATAGAATAAATCATCGGCCTCCACTAAATGGGAGTTAAAGTTTTGGAAATACGTCAGACTATTTTTTTTGTGTGTCAAGTGCTTCGAAAAAGTGAACTAGCAAGGAGGATTTTGGGGGGGGTACCTCCTCAGGGCCATCCTCCAGGAAACCTGGTGAAAGTTGACGCTCCCTACGAACACTAGGCGTGTATTTACGGCTAACCTTTTCCTTCTTCCTGTTAAGGCTCACACTTGCTCTGATCATTTGACTTTCAGCCTTAACCATTGAAAACAATTACACTCAGTAACCAATCACTAAGATTTATAACTTGAAAGAAAACTGCAACCAAAAACAAATATATCCTTACCCTTTCCTTTTGCTCTTTCTCTCTTTCAGGATCAATGTCAGTGACACAGTTCTTAACCTTATAAACCTTCTTGTGTCGTGAATCAACCAAAGCAGTCAGCAATCTATGAGAATTAGATGACAAAGATGAAGGCATAAACTTCATCTTGCTTAAAACTCTGCCCTGGGATTGTAGTATCCCCTGCATTATTATAAGCACAAAATACAAAATTTGATTGAGACAGTAGTTCACATAAACACAGCATAGTTGATTGCACTCGGATTACACTGTTGTCAATTTGCAGCAGCACAAAGAAAAAATCACATTTTAAACTAATCTATAGAAACATACATTTTCAAAATAAATAAATAGAAAGTAGAAACTCATTGCTTATTGAAATTTTATAGCAATCTAAAAATAAAAATTAAGTCTGTGCAGTGGGCTGTCAGCAACTAGCATCAACAACAAAACTTAATCACAACTTCATTGTGGTCTGGGGTCAGCTAGCATCAACCAACAATGAAGGAATAACAACAACAACAAACCAGTTGGATCCCACGAAAGTAGGGTCTAGGGAGGGTGTGTGTACCCAGACCTTGCCTGCCCTATTCTAAAGTACAGAGGTTGTTTCCAAGAGACCCCCAACTCAAGGTGCATGGATAAAAAGATCACAGGAAATACAAAAAGCAGAACAAGCACAAATAAAGAAATAAGCACACTGAGGCACAGAACAAACTACAGTTAATGAAGGAACAGTATTGCAATCTAAAGCGCCAAGCATATGAGTCAAACAAGGCACACAACAAGTACAGAACACTAAGCCTAGCCCAAGGCGCCTACCCAACTACTGAAGGAATAAAAAAGAGATAAAACTGAAATTTAAGCTAGCATCAGCACACAAGAGATACCTTTCCGTGCCTAAGAAAGAGGTGTGCTTGATCATGCTCTGCATCTTGAATAGTTGTGTCAAGAACTTCATTTCCAATCATTAGCTGAATGCTACCATCTGACCAATGCACAAAACGTGCATTGCTTTCTATCTGGACAAAGAGAAGTTCTTCCAATAAGTACGAAGTAGCAAAAATTTAAGCATCACAATCTCCATCATAACATAGCTGCTTCTACCCTAGAGTGTATCCAATCTGGCACAATTGGTAGTCACTTGGTATATGAAGCAAAATAAGAAACAAACACTTAAGGTGATTTATTGTGTGAAAAGCATGCCCGAGGCGATAGACTAAGTGTGTGGTGCCTGTGACTATGTGAGGCAGGCGATGTTGCAAAGACGCATGTGCTACTGTATAAATTGTAGTGCAGATGAGGTACTGATTTCACTTTTCAATAAAAATCCAAAAGCAGCTATTCTAGTCTTCTAGGCCACGAGGTTTGTTCATCCCCCCCTCCCCAATTTGCCACCTCTCCCTCAAGATTCACCAATATATCTGACCTTCTAGTCTATTTCAGCAAAGCTTTTTCTGGCTGTTATGTATATATTTTTCTTTCTTTCAAAGATAGGGTTTACGATCAGACTACGGACCAAATTTGATTGGCTGTTAAGCTATATGCTTTGTGTTCTTCCAAATTTATTTTAAGATTTTCTTCTATAGACCAACTTCATAGTTGTGTGGAAGACACGGTCACACTGAAAGAGAGCATGAATTTTATATCATCTTAATTAAGGCAACATTCTTAATGTGGGTTGTGTTTTGTATGTGTTTGGAAAGTTTACAGTACACCTTGTACTTTGAGGCAACTCAGTACAGTAGTACCCCTATGCACCTTGTGCCCTTAGTGTATATGATTAGAATAAAAACCAAAAGCTAGAATAAAGCATTCCAGCATATGGCAACAGGGCTGTTAACAAAATGAGCATAAAAACATATTCACAAGTCCACTTACAGATTTTGTCCCATCGGGATTCTTCACTTCTCTCCATCTAACAATATTATTCACCAAGCTAAAACGCTTATTGGATCCAGATTCATCTTTAACGAAAACATTCTCCTCCACATACTTCTTTGGATCAAAAGGCTTTGAATCAATTCCCATTATATTTGAAACTTTGATCAAGTGCATCTGCAAAAGAAAATGTGTAGTAAAACCAATAAAATGTCTCAAATAGTATTCCAATAAAGTATAAAACATGCTGTGCGGATCAATTTTGGATTCATCAAGAAAGACAGCAGTACTGAGAAAAAGCACGACTGCAACAGCAGCAACAACAACAACAAGATCCAGCATAACCTCAACTTCACAAACTCAACTTTGTAGAAAACAAAGAGGCTGTTTCTGTTAAACCCTCAATGCATTGCTAAGTTATCTTCCCAAAACATCACAGAAATTAAGAAGTCGGGGAAGTTCGATGTGCCAACTTGAATTAATCCATTATTCACCCAAAACTAAAGCATTGTCAAAAATGACTTTTTTTCAGTTCCATTGGATATAGGTGGTTCTGAGAAAATTCACACTAATGTAAATGAGAAAGAACAAAAGTTTGGGTATGCTATCAATTGATAAAGTGCAACAAGATTTAAGCTGTTACCAAAAGCATAAATGTGTTGGCTAATAAAGATGGGAGTCTTAAAGCTTAAGCTTTTGGAGCATATGGCTGTTATGTTGTACATTGTATTTGGAAGAAAGATCAGTATAGATCCCAGTAGGATCAAAATGAAGAAAAAGATCCCTGAAATTAGGAATAGTTCATACGTCAAAATAGGCAGAAAAAAAAGATAACATCTATTACCTTTTCAGGAAGAGCCGGAGGATGCTGCAGTGGGATCTCAAGCTCTAATGGTGGACCAATCGGTTTTTCCTTATGTTTCTTATCAACGCGATCTCCTTCAGACTCATAATGACCATATTCATCAGGCACAATATCCTCTGGTCCCAATTCCTTTTCATCAATCCCTTCCTCTTCAAAAGGGGATCTCTGCTGAACAAACAAAATGACAGATCAACAACATATAATTCCAGTGTCAAAGTGGAGATCTCAATTAAAGTAATTATTGATAAATTTTCACACATTTGACTCTTCACCCATTTCATTCTGAACACTGAACCTGGTTGGCCCTTCATCATCTGAGTCCCCAATGGTTGGCTCTTCATCTTCACCCATTTCATTCCGAGCACCAAACTTGGTTGGCCCTTCATCATCAGAGTCGCCAATGGTTGGCTCTTCATCTTCAGAGTCCCCAAACACATCTCGAATTTCTGGAGCTGAGCTTGAAACAGGCACCTCATCTTTCTCCTCCAAGGGGGATCTACTGTGAGGAGGATGCCCAAAAAATTTGATAAAATCCATTGAAAACCGTATAAACTCTAATAATATATTCCAATAATATTTTTTGTCGTGGGCGGGAGCGAGATGGGGGGTCGGGGTGTAGGGGAAGGGAACAAAGGGTATTGATGTATTATAGAGGGGAAATGAAATGATCAAATACCATTAAGATTTGGTAAATGTAAACCGTAAAGGAAAGGGATGATTACTATAAATGACATCAGTGTTTTGGATTACAGAGCATATGGAGGGATGGTAAATATTATGGAGTATAAAAACTTATTTGAAAAATATTTGTTTTCTTACCTCATACGAGTATGTTTAATTTATTGAAGAATTAGATAAAGAAAGTAGTTAAGTGTTCTCCCCTCCGTCCCCATTCCCTTCAATCCAAACATACCATAGAACCAAAGTCTTAATCTCACATCCTAAAGAAACAGGTTGTTTTTTGTTTATATATAAAAAACCTGATAGTTACATAGTGACTTCTGTAGCAGCCATTGGAACTATGGCAAAGACCAAGAAAAAACCTACCGCTTAGTTATGTAGCGGTGCAAGCAAAATGGAGTATGAAGGAGAGGAATGGTGGGAGGGAAGGGGTGTGGGGTGGGGGGGGGGGATTGGTGCAATACCTTTCACTTCTAGCTTGGTTAACTTCTTCATCAATATCAGCAGAATCTTTCTCTGACCTGTCTGATGCACTTTGACCATAACCCTTGTTTCCATCAGCCATGCTGTCTTGCCCATGGCTGTCTTCTCTTTGATGAACACTCTGATTGCTTTCAGACTGACTTTCTCCATGATCATCCCCATCCTGCATATCGCCATCACTTTCCCTCTCTGACTCCGGATGAAGTTCACCTTCCCCCTCTCCTTCTCCTTCTCCCTCCCCCTCTTCTTCCCCTTCATCGATATGTTCGTGGGTCTGACTTACAGAAGGATGAAGCACAGAGGAGCGGACAGGGAGGTTTTGGGGAAATTGCTGTGCATGGAAAGTTGGAAACCAATTATTTTGCAGTCTAAAGTTGCCACACAGATGAAGACAATAATGGATTCAAGCTATGATCATGCAGCAAATTGATTTACTTTTCTTTCCTTTCAAACTCTTCATTTCACTCAATTATTTTCATTTGACTTTTACTGCCTACAACAACAACAAACCCAGTGAAGTCTAACAGGGTTTGAGGAGGGTGTGTGTATGTAGACATTACCCCTACTATGAATATAAATTGGAGAGGTCGTTTCCAAGAGACCCCACTCAGATACTGAAGTACAAACAAAGAAACCACTGAAGCACGAACAAAGTACAAACATAGACAAATTAAACATACAAGGTGACTCTGAGAACTAGACATAATGCAGAGAAAGTACACAAGCACGCGCTATAGACTAAGGCATAAAAACAAACTAGCAAAAATTACAAATTAAGGCCCACATGTCTACCCAATTACTTTAATCCTAAATCTCCATGTGTCCCTATCTAAGGCCTTATCCTCGGCAAAATCCTGAAGTCGTAGGTTTACCTCTACCCTCTTCACGCCCTCTACCATAAGCCTCTCCCATATCCTTACACATCTCGCTATAGAGGCATCTTCACCCCTCCTCCTGACGTGCCCAACCTTGGCCTAGCTTCTGACAGCTTATCTTCCATGGGTACCATTTCTACCCTACCCCGAATAACCTCATTCCGGACCTTATCCATCCTCATATGACCACACATCCACCACAACATTCTCATCTCTGCCACTTGAAGCTGACGAATGTAAGTTTTATTCACAGTCCACCCTGCTCCGTATAATATAGTCAGTTTGACCACTGTCCGATAAAACTTCCCTTTCAAGTTAGATGTTATCTTCTTGTCGTAAAGGACGCCTGAGGCTAGCCTCCACTTTGCACAAGCAGCTCCAATATGGTGAACATCATCCCCATCAATCTCCCAGTCGGCCTGAATCATCAAACCAAAGGTACTAAAACCTATCTCTTTTGGGCACTGGGTGTGAATCAATCCTTTCACACCCGACTGAGTCTCCCATCCACTCAAGCATCATTCAACGTACTCAGCCTTAGTCCTGCTCAATCTGAAACCTTTCAACTTATCATTGAGTCCTTCACATGACTCATCAATCAATACAATATCGTTTGCAAATAGCATGCACCAATGTACTTCCCCTGGATAGGTTGCACGATAACATCCATCACCAATGCAAACAGGAAAGGACTAAAGGCTGATCCCAGGTGTAACCCCATCTCCACCGAGAAGGGAGCAGAGTCACCCCGACGGCCTTCACCCTATGATATTATTTATGTGCAGTCTGTGTTCAAGAAAATACAAATTTAAATTGATTCTTAAAGTGAGTTAAGAAAACTCGAGCATGTCAAATTAAAACCTCTGAATTGTTCTTTCATTATTATTACATCTAATCACTACAAGCTTCTTAGAAAGCTAATACATGCACTATGCTCTTCCCATAAATCACAACAGCCATAGGTAAGTCCCAGATCTTAGCAACCCCTTCATTCTACAAAGAACACCCTACGATGAGGAATCACACCCAGGAGCATAGCATTTTGCTTGTATTGCCAACTGTCATGGGCGATTTGTAACCGTACAAGCTGGTATTTGGATTTTGGACCTTGCAGGATTTGGTCTAATGCATCGACTCATTGGCAGCTAAAGTGGAGTCCGTGAAGGGCCTCTCAGAAGTAGTCTTACAACTCCAAAAAATCCAAGATGAACTCCGCCAAATATTTCAAGATCTCGTGAACAAACTAACACCCAACACACAGATTACCGCCATCTGTACATCATTGGAGAGACTATTTATGGCATCGTCCTTTTCTGATCCGAATAGAACAGATCATTATAGCCTTAAGTATCTCCTCCAACAATGCTTGATGACATACTAGAGAGGCAAGACATATGCCTTGAGCCACTTTGAGGGGCAAGCCTTGAGGCACTTTGGAGTGCACGCCTTGAGACACGTTGAGGCGTACGCCTTGAGGCACTTTGAAGTGTGAGCCTAAGTAGAGTGAGTAAATATAGAGATTTTAATGTGGTGTGTGGCCTATGTGGATAGGAAAGGGAGGACAGTGACCATCTCTTTTGGAGGTGTACTTGTGCTAGGAATGTCTACCACAGAATTTTTTGATGGTTAAAACTTTTACAGTAATTCAAATAGCCTATAGGATGGGCGCGAGTATTATGGGCATTGAAGCAAGAAGCAAAGGGGCAGTATGATTGCGGCTTGGGCAGGAATTTGTTACACTATTTGGAAGGCTATGAATCACAAAGTGTTCTAGAAGAGAGAGAGAGAGAGAGAGAGAGAGGGATGAAAGGGGAAAACTGTGTTGGCTATGCGCAACACCAAATCAAGTACTAAATAAACTACAAGCTTAAAGAAACTATATAGTGTAATGGTAGGCTACTGATCTACTAAGTTTTTTTGTTCTTTGTTGTTTTTTTGTAATATGGATGGTTGTTTGATGAAATGAAGTACATTGGTTCAGCAAATATTAAAAAGAGCCAAATGCACAATTTTTGATGGATGAAAATTACTACTTATTATCTAACATGAACAAATGCACCAATTCACCCAATCAAAACAGCTTCAAAATCAATGGAACAAGAACAACATATATGGAATGAATAAAGATATCTAAACCTCGTAATATTATTTCTTCTATTACCAAATTGAGTGCTCAAAGATGCCCAACTAATAATCTACCGGAAATTCAGAGTATCAGCCTGTAGAATATAAGCATCTTTACCGTCAAAATAAAACTCGAAATTTTGACAATTAAAGAATGGCATCTGTATACGCACCAAATATTTATATCAACGCAAATCAATGAACAATTTTGAAGATCAGCGGAAACAGAGGAACTCAAATTTTACTATAATTGCAGTGAATTTCATTGAACTAGGTTTCAATCGTAAATGCGAAAACTTTAACAGCATGAAGGAAATTTCGAACCGAAACCTGTCCAGATTGCGTGTTCGAGTCATGCTCAGGTTCGACCTCATCATCATCCTCCTCCTCCTCTTCCTCGTCTTCTTCTGACTCTCCTCCGAAGAGATTCTGCATCATCTGGTGCCGCTTCTCTTCCCCCGCCATCGCTCCCTAACTCGCTGTGTTATCCCCGACTACCAACTTGTTGAAGTCAGAACTCAGAAGAGAAGAGAGAGTGCCCCAAACAGGTTTAGGTCAGGTCACCACTCGTTAGAGACTTAGAGCATCATTAACGAGGATATTGAGCCAATTCAGGAGAATAAACCTAACAATTTTATTTTTATTTATTTGTGTGCTTTCATTAATTATTTGATAAAATATAATATTCTTTTTATCTCTTACTCCGTATTTTGTAAAACTTTTGATGTAGTTTTTTACAGTAACATGTAATTTTTTCCTTATTGATGTATCAATTTATAAATATAAAATAGAAATCATTCTAAATAGCACTAAAACATAGAGAAAAGTACCAAAATAGGACTTTCATGTTTTTTTTTTCGGAATAGGATTTTGCATTGTGGTAATGTGGCAGTGTACATGTGCAAATTACTGTACTTTCTTGGTAATGTATATGACCATGTTTGGTAATGTAAGTCCTATTTCGAGAATAAAAACATGGAAGTCCTATTTTGGTATATCTTCAATGTTTTAGTCCTACTTTAGTTTTTCTCCCTAAATAAAATGTTTTCAAAAATCGTAGGATTTTACCTTATAATTCACATTTTATAATCAAAATAGAGACGGAGAGAGTATGACACAAGGGGGAAAGTGAGGGGTAGAATTGAGGGGAATATTATGACTCTCGAGAGAGAAATGTTTTAATTGGTTGAAAGTAAAATATATTTATTTTTTATTCAAAAAGTTACTTTCAAGTACCCTTGATTTTCTGGTAATAAATCTCAGATCTTATATTATTTGAAATATACTTCAAGGTATCCTTATTATACCCCGGAATATATTTATGATAATATGGGGCTTGAAAGTTATTACTAGAAAATCAAAGATATCTGGAGTAATTTTTTATTTTTTTATTTGGTCATCTCCATTTCCCAACTCCCTGGCATTATTTAAGGGTACTGTGAGGTACCTGAACTGGTCAGAATTCTATAGTTTCGCCGAGTATTGATTCCGAGACTTTATGTGTTGCATGACGGTAAACATGGGTGTCAAGACCTAGTGTTAGGCCGTTGTTTGAGTATATTTGTTATGTCGTGGACTATTGGCTAATGTATGAACATTATATTGTATTATGAATTGTCCATAGATAATGAGTGAATTACCTAAAAGAAAACTAGGGGCTTACGTGAATGGATTAGTGGCAATGTATGTCATAAGTTAGTAAGTTATAGTCATGTAGTACCTGCTGGGTCCAATGGCTGTTCAGGTAAAAACATGTGCACGAGGATCTATGAACTATCATTCTGAAGGAGACAAGGATCTCACCCACCCAACAAGGAACTCCTGATTTGGTTTGAGCTTGACCTTCGTTATAGATGAGAAGGTCATTAGGCAAGTCGAATTCAGTTAAGCTTTAACCTAATATAGGTTGAGAGCCAAGTACAATAAAAAAAGTAAAGTAACCTAATACTTATATCATTGTTTGTATCTAATGAATGGTTATGATATTGATTATGCATGATATATCGTGTATACTGTTATGATTATTGCTAAGCATGTTGCGTGCATGATATCGTATGATGATATGGGTATAACTATGTGTTAGATATTTCTCACTTAGCTTCAATGCTGAGCGTGTAGCAATTGTTTCCTTTGCTGCAAGTAGGTAATCTAGGAATGAGAAACTTGGAGCCAATCCCGGAGGGCGATGAGGATGCAGAGATGTGCGTGGCGATGTTTGATGATTTTAAACTATTATTCATTATTTGAATTAATCTACTACTTATATGGGTGTGAGTCTTAAGTTGTGTTGGATTATAACCTAAGCGTTCACAACTGTTTTGAAAAGTAAAGTCATGTTTGGATACCAATATAGTAGCAACCCGGTCCGCTAATCCGAGTATTCAGATTATGCGGGTTGGGGTGTTACAACTATTCCCTGATAAATAGCCGTAATCTTAATAGTAAAATAGCTCGAGTGCACCTGTGTTTTACGCCTTTAATCATTTTCCAACAAAAAGAAGGCATTTATGCCTATTTTCTAAACCATAAGCGCAATGATACTCGTGTTCATTTATTATTTCCTATTTATTATTTGTTTTTTTCTTTTTAACCTTTTATCTCTTTATTTCCTATTCCTAGAAAATATTTTTAAATTTCTTTTCAATTTTTTACTACCTCCGTCCCGCTATATTTGTCCACTTTTGACTTTTGGAATTGTTCATCTAAACACTTTGACTCATCAAATTCTCCCAATGTTTAAGCCTAAATATAGTCATGTGTGATCTTGTTTGATTTGTCTTAAAATATAGATTATTAATATATAATTTCTATAATTTTTTAATATACAAATTACAAGATAAAATGGATTAAAAAAGTGTATTGGATGATGTGTAAAAATGAAAGTAGACAAATATAGTTGGACGGAGGGAGTATAACATTTTAAAATTTTCAAAATTCTTTGTATTTGAAATTAAAAGTAAAAATAAAAAAATTAACATATACTCTATTAATATCAAATTAAATGTTTTCACATTTTATTTTCTAGAATAGTTTTTTGGTAAGTTCAAAAAGAAAATTCATAAATAAAAAATAAAAATGAAAATATGGAAAAATAAAAAAATTAAAGCGTTAAAAAAGTATCTTATACAAGAGGGAATTTCCAGAACTCTCAAAAAAGTTCTTAAAATTGGGATGTCCAAAAAGGATATTCATTTTTATTTTTTGTTTCATAACTTTTATTTTATTCTTTATTTTTTGAAGGTCTCACAAGAAAAATTACCTTTTTATTTTGGAAAACAAAAAATAAAAATTGGTAATTTGAGACGTACAGATGCTGTTAGTATATGTTAATCATTTTTTTCAATCAAAAATAAGTTTAAATTATGAAAACATTATAAAAAATTTTAAAAAGAAATTTAAAAAATCTTGATTAATAAAAGAAACAATTAAAAGAAACAAATAAATGAAAAAGGAAAAACAAAAGATGAAAAAAAAATAAAAATTGAGCGAGTGCCACCTATAATTTGAAAAATAAGTATCAGCATTTTTTTTTCTCTAGAAAAATGACCGAAAAATAAAAGACTTTATAAATGCTTATTTTTTAAACTATGAGCCAAGGTGCTATTTTTGCCTAATCTTTCTAATGGCCGGACCTGAGCTCTGATGTATCCTGCGACCTGCATCAGCATCACTTCGACAGTTCATTGAAAATTCGATCGCTTTATCATCTTTCCTACCTGAAAAAACCCTTCATTTTCTCTCTTTTTTGTCTTTGATCCTCCCTCTCTAAAGCGTTATGTAGCGATTCAAAACCCTAGGATTCGCATAATCGGAGGATCCCTCGGAGGCTTTGCCGTCGGGCACTGCATTTACGGAGGTTTGTGTCTTTCCTTTCTGGTTTTTCCCAATTTACCTGTCTCATTGCGAACCCTAATAATCTCCCCCCTCCCCCCTCGAATCACACCATGTATTGTATTCAATCCGATGAATCTGACTCATATAGGCTTTGACACTCTAACTAGCAGCTCCCCCAGTTTATGTGCCTGTTTGAGGTTTCAATAGCTGTTTCAGCTGTGTTAAATTGTGATGACACTTATTAAATTTGTTGATCTTCTTGAGAAGTCTAGGTAAATATTATGGTTTTGCTTGAAATTGTCCTGTGTTGGAATTTTTGTACTTAACGAGGGTTCAATTGTGAGCATTTTCGAGCTCTTGAGTTCAAGAAATGTGAGTGGATGCTCATATTGGTGGTCTGATTAGCTAGATGTGAGTGGATTTATGCAGACGAGGGAAAAATTATTTGAGCGAAACAATTTTTCCTGAAAAGGAAAAATATAAAGGTTAATGGGAACTTAATTTCGGGATGGAGGGAGTATTACTTCTTTGGTTTTTATGCTTGATCTTAAACTCCCTATGAGATAAAAGGCTGCATTTATTTTGATTATACCAATTTGTTCATCATTAAAAAAAAGAAAAAAATTTAAAAGAATAAATAATGAAAAATCACATTGCATCTTCTTACATCTTCTGCAATTCTGCCCCTACTTGTTCAAGTTATGTTATAACTAAAAGCCCAGGTCTGATACCTAAAAACACTTCAGTCCTATTTTTTTTTTTTAAAACTAATGTGTTTGATTTATGCTTTACCCAACACAATCTCAAGTTTGCTGCAATTTTAAGAACATTAATAGCTAATACATTTTGCTCTATGAAATTAGCATGAGCAGTTTAGTTGCTATATATGGGGTACTGGATACAGTTAGATATATGTGCTATGAAATTTGTACGGAAAGGCTCAAGTAAGCTGTGTGAGATGTATTCATGTTCACGTAGGTTAATATATTACGAAACGACTTTACCTTTGTTTTGTTTTAGGGAAGCTGGAAGAATCATTGTAACTATATCTCAGCTTCCGATAAATAATGGACAAAATCAGAATTACCCATTAGGCCTCTTACTTTCTATGAATTTTTGGCTAGTAAATGCAGCAAGGCATCCACGGTCATCTAACAGAAATAGCCTCTGTTTTTGGGTAAGGTTGAGCACATCTTGACCACAATGTAGTTGAAATTATATTGGTTTTTTTTGCTGTTGTTTAACAGCTGAACTTAGATGAGGTAGAAGAGCTAGGGATTTGTTTGTTTATTCAAGATCTGCATGCTAGTGATACATTGATACATGATGTGCATGTATTCTCAGCATGCCCTCGAGAGTAAATTCTGATGCCAAACCTCTAACAATTCTTCTTAGCACCATAACCTTTAACATTAAGATATTTGTACTTTCAGGGTTAGCGAGCCATTTGTTTGAATATACTCTGAAAATATGGGACAGTTCTCCCTATATGACTATATCTGGTTTGAATGGTATGGAAAGGCTCAAGTAAGCTGCGAGAGATATTTTTGTGCAAATTCAATCCTTTCACATAGGTTAACATATCATGACACAACTTAACCTTCGTTTTGGTTCACGGAAGCTGAAAGAGTCCTTTTTACGATATCTTAGCTTTCCGTAAAGAATGGACAAAATCAAAATGACACACTAAACTTTTTACTTCCTATGATATTTAGGCCTGTCAATGCAGCAATGCATTAACAGTCTAACAGAAATAGCCTTCTTTTTATAGGGGTAAGGTTGACTGGTTGAGTACATATTGACCCCCC